CTTCTCCGCCGCCCGTCACGGCGGTTTCTTCCCGCTGCGCCGCCGCCGCCGCCAAGACTTTCAAGAAATGCGCCTCGCTTCCCACTCAAGACGCTTCCATTGCGTGGACCTTCCATCGCCACAACGCTACGCTTGACATCGCCTTCTTCGGCTCCTTCATTTCTCCCTCCGGTTGGGTCGGCTGGGGAATCAACCCGGCCGCCGCCGAGATGGCCGGAACCCGCGCCCTCATCGCCTACCCGGACCCCAACTCCGGCCAGCTCTTGCTCCTTCCCTACGTCCTCGACTCTGCCGTCAAGCTACAAAAGACTCCCCTCCTTTCCCGCCCACTCGACATCCACCTCCTTTCCTCTTCCGCCACCGTGCACGGCGGACGCAAGGCCACCGTACACGGCGGCGCTGCCATCGAAATCCGCGCTTCCGTCAAGCTCTCCCACAACAAGACAAAGCTTATGCACTTCGTATGGAACCGGGGGCTCTACGTACAGGGCCACTCTCCGACCATCCACCCCACCGGCGCCAGCGACCTCTCCTCCGCCGTCACCGTCGACGTGCTCTCCGGCAATGCCCCAAGAGTTCACAACCGCCGCGACTTCTCGACGCTGAAAACCGCCCACGGCTTCGTTAACGCCGTCTCGTGGGGAATCTTACTGCCGGTCGGGTCAGTCACGGCTCGTTATGCAAGACACATACGATCTCTGGGCCCCACTTGGTTCTACGTCCATGCAGGTACCGGTTTCCACGTTTATTTCCTTGAAAAAAAATAAAAGTAAAAAGTAAAAACTGTATTTGCTTGAGTGGAATTGTCTTTGTTACATGCCATGTTTGGAATATGGTTTTGAATTTAAATCATTGTTTTGGATGATATTGAATACTTTGTATAAATTAAGTTTGAAAATTCTAAAAATCTGTTTGGTACACGGAATTGAACAAATTGGTATTGAATTGGAAATTGTAATTCTAAGAAATTGATTTACATGAAATTGAATTCTTCAACTCCAGTTCATTTTTGGCACTACTAGGGTCTAAGTCAACATATTTTTATACTACCAAACAACAAGATTGAAATTGTTGTATGCAATTTCATCGATTGAATTCTGTATATCAAACGGATCCTAAAATTAAATGTTATCAATTGATATATTTTCAAAACATTGAGCTAAATGCTGGTTCTATTATCAATTGGGTACGTTGTACATACGTTGTCTTAGTGCCGATGGAATATGGAGTAGTCTCTCTATCTCAATCTTTTTTCTCATTGATTTTTTACTGTATCTAATGTTATACTTTGATCAATAATATCTTTATTTTTATATAAACATATTTTCCTTCCATTTTATAAAACGCTTCTTCTTTTATTTTTAATAATTTATTGTCAAAATTTAAAAAAATGACCAAAAAAGTCAAAATAGGTATAAAAAAAAGGAGACAGGTAAAAGTCTCATTTGGCATCATCGTTAGATATTTGCGTTAGCGTTTTGAAAAGGTCATCTGACGGTAGTCTTTAGCATCAACATTTTCAAAATTAATCCGAACCATTAAAATTCTATCTAAAATGCTACAGCTAACCGAAACGTTGTGCCAAGGTGTTCTTATTGTTAAATTGGGATACAATATGAAATCTATGCTATCAATGCATGCCGCAGGCATACAACTATCGGGCATTGCACTAGGGAGCATAGGGTTCGGGATCGGGCTAAGGCTCGGGGAGCTATCCCCGGGGCGAGCACCGGGGATGCATCTGAAGCTCGGCGTAGCGGTGTTCAGCTTGGGGATACTGCAAACAACGGCAGTGTTTTTCAGGCCGGAGAGGACGAACCGATTCAGAAAGTATTGGAAATCGTACCACCACTTTGTAGGGTACGCGTGCACAGTGTTAGGGGTGGTGAACGTCCTCCAAGGGTTCGACCTCATCGGAGAAGAAGGGCCGTCGCCGCCGTCCTATTATGGCCTGCTCGTTTATTGCCTCTGCTTGTCGACGTTGGGCGGTGTTTGTGTGGCGCTTGAGGTCAACTCTTGGGTTGTTTTTTGGCGGAGTGCCAAGGAAGATAAGTTGAGCAGCACATCTAGTAGCTAGCTAGCCATGCAATTGATAAACCTTCTTTTACAATATACTCCGTATTTTGGTACTATTTGACATTATATGTCCTATTTTCATACTCCCTCCGTCCCACAAAAAAGTTCTCATTTTGAATAGTATTTAGTTAAATATTTACACGCTTTAACTACAAATTGTGAGAAAGGTATATTGAATTATGAAATAAATTTTATGTAATTGGATTAATCTTAGAATCTTGTTTTGATATCTCAAATTTTTTTAACATTTCTTTATTTAGATTATATTTAATTTAGGATCAAAGTGTGCAACAGTTTGACCAATTTATAGTCAAAATGGAAATTTTTTTGTGAGATGGAGGAGTATAAAAGTAGTGAAAGATCTATATTTTGGTACATGATGTGAGATATTTCTCTCTTTTTTTCTTATTTTTATATACTAATCTTAGTACTCATTTAGTATACTGATTTTCCTAAAAATGTGATTTTTTAAAAATAATGAACAACTAAATTCAGACCAAAATAGTAATCCCTCCGTCGTTTAAAGCATTTCAAGTTTTACTTTTTAGCTGTTACATAAAACATTTCAATTTTGTTTAAATGGACACAATTACCTTTACTTTTCTTACATCTAATCAAATCTATCTCAACTATTTTCTACTCCCTCCGTCCCAAAAATGTTGGCGACAGAAGAAGGAAGCCAGATCAAAGAAGGAAACTGAATCCCTTTGTGATTCGGTTTAATATCTTTCCTAGTTTGCTTAGTTCTTGTTATAGTAGGAATAAAAATATGGTAGGAATAAAAGTTTACTTATATGCTTTACTCTCTTCCTATATAAAGAGGGTTAGACCTTTGTATTCACAAGCCAATTCAATATACAGAATATTTTTCCTCTTATTAATTTCTACATGGTATCGGAGCAAGTTTTGAATTCTTGAGACCTCAAACACGCTTCTTCTCCTGCCGGTGGGCATACACAATTCAATGCCTACTGACGGGATATATTGTAATTTTTGATTTTCTTTGATTGTTTTCCCTCACTAAAGAATATCATGAACTCCTTGAATGAAAAACATTGCTGTCGAGGAATCCCGCCCAACCATCAAGGGTTGTCCGAGAAGGGTTGTTCTACAGAGACAGACAACCCTTTCCTTAGCAGGCAATAAAAAAAAGTCGTCGTTCAGGGTGTTCGAAAAGAATAGCGTTCCCCCTGTTTGTTCGAATTCGGTGAAGGTTCGAAAAGAATGGCGTTCCTTTACTCGACTGATTATTCGGTGGAATCAAAAAGCTTGGCGTCTCCGTTGAAGAAAAAATTGAAGTGTCTAGATGACACTTGGACAACGATGGCAGCGTCTTCATCAAGCTTTGTTGCTTTGTTCAATCTTTTGATGTCCAAGCTGGACATGTTGAACTCCCATGCTCCAGCTTGAGGGGGGGGTGTTGGCGATAGAAGAAGGAAGCCAGATCAAAGAAGGAAACTGAATCCCTTTGTGATTCGGTTTAGTATCTTTCCTAGTTTGCTTAGTTCTTGTTATAATAGGAATAAAAATATGGTAGGAATAAAAGTTTACTTATATGCTTTACTCTCTTCCAATATAAAGAGGGTTAGACCTTTGTATTCACAAGCCAAATCAATATACAGAATATTTTTCCTCTTATTAATTTCTACAAAAAAGATTGGTACATATTGACTTTTGGGAAATTATGGGAGGGATATTTTGGTGTTGACTTTCCAAAAATACCCTTGATGTGATGGGTAAAAGTAGGATGTGATGGGTAGATTATTAGGAAAAAGGTGTGATGTGATAGGTAAGTTATGAAAAAATAAGGGGTAAAAGTGATTTTTTAATAGAAATGTTATGGACTTTATGGGATATAGTTTTTTCGAAACGTGTCGGACTTTTTGGGACGGAGGGAGTATATTTTACCCATTTTGACATTTCCCGAGCCCAATTTGTTTCAATTGTTGCCTTTTATTTTGCTTTAATCAAACTTTTTTATCTTCCTCTCTTGAAAGTCAAAAACTTGAAAACGCAATTGCTCTTACTTTTCTTAAATCTAACTGAATTTATCTCAAATACCTTCTATGTTCTACTCATTTTGATATTTTCTGAGCCTAACTTGTTTCTAGCTATTGTCATCTTTTTGCTTTGACCAAACTTCTATATCTTTCTTTTCCAAAAATCAAAACTGGAAAACAAAATTGCCCTTAGTTTTCTTAAATCTAACCATACACATCTCAACTACCTTTTATGTTTTACTCATTTTGTGATTTTTCGAGTCCAACTTGCTTCAATTGTCATTCTTTTGTTTTTATCTAACTTCTTCAAATTAATAAACAATCGGAGAGTGAGAACAATAAAAATTGATTGTCAAGAATGGGATTCGAACCCATGCCCTTTCGGACCAGTACCTGAAACTGGCGCCTTAGACCAACTCGGCCATCTTGACTTCTTGTCACATGTTCTCTTTCGAAAGTATAATACCTTTAAACAAACAGTTGGTAATTTAAAAAGTTAAAAATCATCATGATAGTTTTTGGCATTATATTTGACATAACTGGTATTATAAGTATTATTTTGATATAAATATATATAAAAAGTCATATTTTATATAAAATATATTTTAATTTTATTTAAGAATTTCTCCATGTATAAATAACATACTTTTGTCCTCTACACATATCATTTCTATCAAATACTCATTTAAAGGGAAAGATGCATGCAAATAGGAAAATTTTAAAGTGTTAGAGAATCTCTAATTCTCTATCATTCTAAAATTGTTAGCCTCTTCATAGTTTTAAATATTTAGTAATGGCTCGTGAAGCATATTTTACGTATAATAGAAGTATTAGGTTGGCATGATCTCACTTAAAAAGCACGTGATTTTGGTTTCATGTAAAATAACATCTCTTCATTATATTTATTTAAGGCTAATGAGATCAAGACACAACGAAGTATGATCCATTGGACAAAAATACTACTCTCTCCGTCCCACTCTCTTTGTCCACTTACCTTTTGGCACACTATCCAATGCACTTCTTTAATCCATTTTATCTTGTAATTTGTATATTAAAAAATTATAGAAATTATATATTAATAATCTATATGTTAAGACAAATCAAACAAGATCACACATGACTATATTTAGGCTTACACATTGAGAGAATTTGATGAGTCAAAGTGTTTGGATGAACAGTTCCAAAAGTCAAAAGTGGATAAAGAGAGTGAGACGGAGGTAGTATGAAATTAGTTAAAATATTACTCCATGTCACATATTTATGAGTATATACCTAATGTTGACCAAGTCAAACTAGTTAACTATATTACTCTAAACAAGGGTAGATCCATCTTAGGCCAGCCATATTTATTGGATAAGTTATTTGGACTAACACTAAAAATGCTCAAATGAACAATATGAATGGAAGGCTTTTGGTTTCGCTAGGGCACAATTTACGTTTCAACCCAAACTATCCAATGCATCTTCACGTGGAATATTAGTTGAACGAGAAAGAGCTCGAGGCTAACACATGGATGGATCCCACGAGTCATTTGGTGATATGCCAAAACATGCTTATATAGATGAGAATGGTCTAATTGGATAACGATGGGAATAGACATGGAAACGATTTCGGTTTCGAACCGATGAACCTTTGCGGCGGCAAGTAGGGAGAGCCCGAACCGGAACCTGCACAGACAGTATTGGTACCAATTGTAATTTTAGGCTACCAGATGAATTGGCAGTTCCGTTTTTGGAATTAGTTTTTTCAACTTTGATAGGCATTTACTACCATTCTACTAGCTTATTTACAAGTAAAAACTACATCTAGACAAATGTTTATGATTTTTACATAAAAAATCAATTTAAAAAACAAAAAATTAAAGGGTTCACGAACCAATACCGGTGGTAGTCCTTCTCATCGATCGTTCCGGAACCGACAATTCTAAAACTGGAACCGACGTGTGTCCACCCCTGGATGGGAATGTTGAAAGTTAACAGGTCTACATTTCATAATGACGGAAGAACATCACTAAACATGCCAAAAGTAATTATAGTTGGCACTTCTATATTGGCCCTATAACACCTCGATTCGCACAACCCTGTTTACACGAGTTAGAGGACCAGAGTACTAGCAATTTTGTAAAGTGTCATCTCATAATCTATGAAGTAGTACTAGTAGTAATTCAAAAACTTTTAAAACATAGATTTCTCAAAATACTATAAAATAATTTTTGGAGTAATTTAATTAAAACGTTGCAGAAGCTAAATAAGATTCAACACATTTACAAGTATGGGTTCATGGCGGTTCAAGTCCCAAAGTATTCTAAAATGTTAATAATAGTCCCGCATCTTCCTGCCAACTCTCTCGTCTCAACATCCTCTGGATTTGACTCCATAATTTGATTACCGACACACAATCACTCAACAAAGAAAACTGTACGTTAAGCGAAACCGTTGAGTGGTACCACAACGCAAATTACAAAGAATGATTCATGAACACATAATCACATTTATAACGATAAGTGATACTGCTAAATCCATTTATTTAAGAAAAAGTCTGTATTTCTTCTTTGTAAAATCTTAATTATATTTTCCAACATATCTCTTAGTTTTGGTGATGTGTAAAACATTTCTTCAATTATGAATATATAATCATACGTATTCAAAAGTATTTATTAAAGGTCAATATTATTATTATCAAACATTTATTGTTCAAGTTTAGATTGGTCCGTTCCATAGAATAATTCATAATCATACACATATAAGTCAAGATGAATAACCATGAGAAAATCAATCATTCCATTTTCATAATCAATCATATGTACTAAGAGAGCTAAGTTGCATCCTTAATCATCTTCCATAATTTCGTCCCCTTAATCCTCACGGTTCCATGGAGTCATTCTCCGTAGAGAAATGACTTGATAAGACTTCCCTATCTGAGTCTGAGTCCGAGTGCCCTTCTCTCCAGGTTCAGAATTTATCCCGTGGGCTTTCCAGGTCTGGTATAAATACTCTTCTAGTTTTAGATGCACAGGTTGAGTGAGCCCAGGCACATGTTCAACGCCCTTCTCTTCAGGCTCAAATATTTTTATTTTTCAGACCATCGGAGCCCACACGGTCAAAATTAGCAGTTTAAATAGTTAATTCCTTTAGACCGATTTTTGTGGCATTATAACCCTTCATTTTAGAGATATTTAGGGTTTGAGCTCTATTATATTATTATTATTATTATTTCATGCTTTTGTAGTCATATTCATCATTGTTAATAATAACAATTAGATTACGAAACTCATCCCCAAAGTAGGTACTCTTTGAGAAGCTAAAGATTACAGACACATTGTTTGTTGTAATGTGATATATTAAATCATATCTAAACTCATTTATAATAGGCTAAAACATGTTCTATCCCATATCATTAGCTTTAACCAAGGGGCATTTGTTTAATGCAGGGAGCTACTTCACAACATTCTATTGTGCCAGGAACTAGCTAGTTAAAGGTTATAATAGATTAGGTAATTAAGTTCATTAGATGTATATAAGATGAAGCTAGGTATATCCAAAGCATATGGTTCTATCAATTGGTATGCTATAGAACAATTATTTATCTACTTTAAGTTTCCTAGACTATTTGTTAACTAGATTGTAATCTGCATTACCACCTCATTTTATACCATTAATATTAATGGGGAGTGTAAAGGTTTTTAAAAGAGGTAAAGGCTTAAGACAGGGAGACCCCATATTCCCTCTTTTATTTGTACTAGTGATGGAATATCTCACTAGAATACTAGCCCAGTTTGCAGTGGAGCTTAAACTTAGATACCACCCTATGTTCAAAATACTTATGCTTATTAATACATGCTTTGTTGATGGTCCAATAGTTATATGTAGAGTTGGTGAAGATTCAATGCACAACCATGCTTCACGTGAATCTTGGTCTAGGGAGTAATTCAAAATTGAGTTAAAACAGAAAAAGTGACTATTCACGAGGTTTCCCATAAGAGATAGTTAGAAATAGAATATGCCTGACCCACAAACTTAAAGAGGATGTCATCAAGGTATTTGATTGAATTTGCATGTATTTTAGCTTCGAGTGTTGTTTAAATATTGGTCATCGATCATTTCGTTATTTGTCACATCAGTTGGCAATAATTAAAAGGTTTAAACCAGTCATACAAAAGAAATGATATTTGCGAACGAAAGGAGTTTTCTTGTAAAGAGAGAGGTGAAATATTTACTAGGAGTAGGTCATATCAAGGAGGTTTTATATCTCAATGTTGGCTAACATTGTGCTTGTACAAAAGAAAAAAGAGAGTAGAAGACACATTGAGGATGCGTGTTGACTCACAAATCTCAATAAGACATGTCCCATGGACTCTTATGTAGTATTGCTTAGTCGAGACTAAATTGTAGATAAGACGTCCGAGTGTATGCTTCTTAGTTACATGGATGCAAAAGATACCACCAAATAGTAATGTGTGAAGGTGATGAAGAGAGGGTGTCTTTTATTTTGGATGAGACATATTGTTATAAGGTTATGTCTTTTGAATTGAGATAACAAAGGACAATCATATAACGGCATATAAGTAAATAGTTGTACGCTATGGTATATGTGATGATCTGATTTTTTGTAGTTCAATAATTATTATCTTAGTTGTCCAGTAAAAAAGTTTTCTTATTTTACTTTGATGTATTTTAAGAAAACGTGTTGGAAGTATGAATATAAGATTCAATCATCTGTTTTTATATGGAGAAGAGGGAATGATCAAGAAACTTTCAGGGGAACATAAGCATGATGTTTGGTTCGTGAATTTAGGGGAAAAGAAAAAAAAATCTATCCATTTCTTTTCTTTACCGAAATGGGAAAAATATTACTTTCCTTCTTTTCAATTCATTTTTCCCATATTCTTTTTCCTTCTACTCTTTTTTCACATCTAACCAAACTTTTTTTTTCACATCTAACCAAATAAGAATTTTTTTTCTTTTTTTTTTGCTTCCTTAACAAATTTTTGGAATCAAAGAGAACAAAATTTGGATGGTGTAGCATCTCTTGGTATACATCTATCTGGGGGTGATTCAGCAAAGACAACAATAATGGGAATAATGCAGTGTCGATAAGGAGAAGAGAAAGACTTCCTCTTCCCCCCTTTCTTTCAAAATCATTTGACTGGTTGTTGAAACCCTAATTTCACACGGTGATAACTTCCTTCTGCTAATCAAAGATTTCGGATTTTGCATATTTCATGTTTATAAATTTCTACTCTTTTTTTGACATTTTCAATTTTTTTCTTATTTCTTCTGTGGATGCTCGATGGTGATTGAATTTCCAGGGATGAGCAGAGAGACGCCGCCCGAGCCGCTTGATTTCTTCATCTGGACTGTTGAGGTACTAATTCGCTCATTCTTTAGGTGGTCCTTCCTGTAGATCTTGTTTTCCGCCGATTTTGAATTCTCCGTTGATCTGATTAGTGGCAGTTCTTCAATTATTTTGGAGGCTCTGACTCTCTGAGTATATGAAATCTTTTGCTCTAGGTTATTGAGCACATGCCCTAAAGCTCCTTGGGCATAACACTTTAGAAGTGTACTTTCGAGTCTCGATGTGCATATTTGGTAATTGTGTGATTATTATTTAAGCTGATTATAGGGGCAATAGATAAACAATTTATTATCTGCAATTTTCTCAAAGAGTATGCTAAGAATGAGATAATGCATGGTAGAGCACTTTTTTTTTGCTTATTTAAGCATCATAATCGGTGAGTAAGTTGTAACATGGAGTTATTAACAATTTTTCATTGTCTGTATACATACTACATACCTATAACCGTAATCTTTGCTTAATGGAAGCAATGACTGACAATTATCGCATGTTGTGTACTCAATTTTGGAGGAATTTTTTTATCTCAACATTTTTCAGTCTTTTGTTACCTCTAATTTCTATTGAAGAGGATCCTCGCCGTATTATTGGTTTTAATTTGGTAAAAATTGTCCACTTGGAAGAATCTTACACATAGGAATCAGTGCATGATCTCATGTTATTCATAAGACACTAAGTAGTACATTATTTAATTTGTGATAATGCAATAATTTTGCTAAAGGATGCATATATTGTTTCATAAGGAATTTGAGGCTCCCGTTTGTCCATGTGGAGGAGCGGACTTCTCGCAAACTGAGTAGCGAGAACACACCTTGAGGCATAAGCTTCATGAGGTGTATAAGGCTTAAACTTATGATATACTTCAAAATTGGTCATTTTGCTTGTGAAAATGGGTTGTTTTTATGCTGCCCGACTATCATAGAATAGTTGCATAGGTTTATGATGTTCTACACTTCTACTCCAAGAGGGTGAAGAAGACTCTCGAGCCATTTAAGTTCAGTGACGATGGATGCAAAAAACATTCGATGAGAGAAATATTATCAGAATTTACATATTGTGCCAAAGGATGAGAGTACGGGAGCAATCAAAGACGAACAAACAGGAGAATCATGGATGGTGTGAGTGACAAAGTCTCACAAACGTGTAGAAGGACGACCTTCTCTACACCCTCTCCCCATCCGGTCACTGCCCCCCTCCCCAATTTCTTCCTCCGTTTGAGATTCTGTCATGTCGACTGGCAGTGTAGCTTCACTGCCACTGTCAATTGGCCCCTCATGGCTTCACTGCCAGTGTTCACCTTGTTTGGGGTAGTGCCCAACATTGGTACCCTAGTCGCAAGCCCCACTGCCGGCAATACCATGTTCATTTGGGATGAGTTCAGTTGTCTCCTACTCTCCTTTGTATCTTTGTATCTTTCTTATCTTCACTGAAACGATATACCTTCTCAATAAATTTAACATCACAACAGAAAGCTTTTGTGTCTCAAGATCAAACAAATGCTATCATTTCCCCCCCAAACACGGATATGTGCATATGAAGGAACTTTTCCAAATAAATCCTCATACACTGTTTTCTCCCTTTAAGAGCTTGGAAGGAGTATGTTTCATCAAGTAACCGGCTCCGAACACACATTCACCCCAAAATGGAATTGGTAAATGTGCCAAAACGCAAAGTGTGTGCCACATTTAGAATATGATGATGCTCATTCATTGTGTTGAGATGTTCCCACAGACCCACACAAGAACACTGAGATAGTATTCCATGTTCCTCCAAGTAATTTTCATGCAATTTTAACCACTTTATTGAATTTCCTTGAATCGTGTCGAAGAAAACTTTAAAAAGTCGTGGCACTTCATCCTAATTGTTTACCAAATAAGTCCAAACGCTATAAGATCATCAATACTTATTCAAAAAAATCTTGCCCTTGTTTCAAGCATGGTCTCGATATGCATCTCACAGGTCACAATGTATCAATGACAAAGGCCCAGTCATTATTATTAATTATTGCTAATTGGAAAAGAATCTCTAGATTGTTTTAAACCACACACAGATTTCACAAATTGCATTCTCTACCCCATTATTTTTTCCTAGAATACTTGAAGTATATTAACTATCCCTTACGAAAGATGCCCAAGACGTCTATGTCACAGCTCTATAGAAGGCGTTCCCTTTACACTGCAGACATGATCACTCACAACATCCTTCAAGAAATAGAGTCTTCTGGTCTGTTCACCTGCTCCAATCACCGCTCTCAAAGAAGTTGAATAGCAAAACGTTCGTCATCAAGAAGTTGTGGGATAGAAATCAGATTGCTGTTAAGTTTTGGAGCATATAATACATCTCACAAGAGAATAGTTTTTCAAAGCTGCACGTCTCCTTTCTTTGTGGCCTCTGCATGGTATCCATTAGGCAAACCAATTGAGACTGCAGTCCTATTCTTGACATTCGTCAAGCAATTGATATTACCCGTCGTATGTTTTGATGCACTGCAATCAAGTATCCATCAGGCACCACAGTTACATGTATGTTTTTCATTGTGCCCGTGTGCCTGGCATCAAGCAACCCCACAATTGTATTCCACTGAGTCAGGGTGAACCCAGTGGCGACTCTATCTTCAGCGTCATTCCATTGATCACCGTTGGCAGCCCTGCCAATGTGCGTAGCTACTGCCTACCAAGTGCCGTGCCCAACCATATCCTTAGACAACATCACGTCCAGTGATTGTCCAATTAAGACTTCCATTAAGAAAGCCACATTTTTTCCTTTGTCCAAAAAGTGATTTGCACGGCGCGAGCCCATACCTCATGCTTATCAATTTGACCTGGGTGATCGAAAGCCCCAATGTATTCATAGATTTGAACTCGTATTGATTGGATGACATTTTTTATTTTTCCTTATGTTTTCACTGTAACCTTTGAGGTTGACCCTATTGTCGCCACCATCTCACTTTGATCATTTGACACCAAAGAGTGATGCCAGCCAAATTATAAAAATACGGAGTATTATTCTTTTCAGAACCTTTTGCTCTTATACCATGTTAAAAATTGATAAGAATTAATAAGAAAAGTAATTTTTGTTATTAATTCTATATCCCAGAATGGTTATATATAGGATGAAAGAGATCTTTTAATTATGGAAGTTATCAAACCCTTTCATTACTCAATTCCTAAATGAAGGCTAATATATTAAATAAGGAAATATAAACAAATATTTATCTCATAAATAATACTCCGGCCCGTTTGCACGTTGTTTGGTTTTTAAGGTGACCATTTTAGAAACATCTGACCTTATAAGATCTTCAAATGCACATATTTTGCCTGTCTTGGGACCATATGAAGTGGGGTTTGTGTGATGGTGCTAAATATTGGTGTCGGGCATTTCAGTTTGAGCAAACACAGCCAAATGTTCTGAGTCAGTTGAAATATGTTAATGCGATAGAGAGATACTATGGCTGAGTGGCGGGCTACTGTTAACTATGCTTTTTAATATTTAATGAAAGTGACTTGAATTCATTATGAATTTTTTCTTTTTGTTTTCCAGGATGTTGGTTTGTGGTTGGAAGAAATAAATCTTGGTAGCTATCGACAAATTTTCAGAGAAAACGGTGTTAATGGGGAGTACCTGGAAGGGATGTCAATGTTCACGACTGAACAGATCCTACGGTTTATAAGACGATGCCACATGAAATGGGGAGATTTCATAACATTATGCAAGGAGCTTAGGCGAATAAAAGGTCTCTCTCTCTCTCTCTCACACACACACACACAGCCTTTACAATTCCTAGTTTGTATTGATGCTTGCATGAAAGCTTAGAAACCACCAGGCACCTGCTATTTTTTTTGAGATGGTAGTGAAAAAACAATCTTTATTGAAGTCCAGCCCACTTCATTGGTGTTCCACCCATTCTAGCAAGTAGCAATTGTTGCCAAATCCTTTCCTAGCCTTGAACAATCACCCCTTCTGGCCTGTGTGTCTCACGCTTAGGTCCTGCCTAATTCTGCTTAGGCCCTGTCTCATGAAGAATGCACTCAGGACCAGCACGGCTTGATGTTTGGACCGGCAGCCTCCGACCTGCTGGTATGTAGTGTTGTGGCGAGCCTACTACCATCAGCCTATGTCGGGCTGGCTGAGTTGACGAGTAACACCTTATTCGTACAGGCATGCAGCTTGGGTATCTTTTTGCCCCTTTAGGCCTTCTCTCCAAAGATGTAGCTCAACTTATTAGGCAGTCATGGTTTGCCCACGTGCGTGCCACTTCCGCTTAACACGTCCCGTAGTCCTGTACTTGGTGCCTTGGTAGTTCTTTAGCCGCAGCTGTAAATACCCCTTCAACCCCTCTTTGTATTGTCTTAATGTATGTTTTGGCCTTTGGGAGTTGATTTCTTATCTCATTCCAGCAGTTCTAATTCCATTGAATTGTGCAGTTTTTTTTTGAAATATACTACTAAATATTAATTTGTAATAAAAAAAGATGAATGTTTTTTAACCTAATATTTTAAAGTACAAAAGGCAATGATTTATTAAATAATATTGACTCACATTCTATTGGAGCAAAAAATTGAGTATGCGATTTTCGATATTGCAAAACCAATATTTGAGCTTATTGATGGAGGTGGTTTTACCCAGACCCTACTCTTGTGGGACCCAACTGGGTTGTTGTTGGAGATGGTTTTACACCATTAGTGATTGACTAGTCTTTTTTCTTCTTCCTGGGTGTACGTTGGTGGGGTTGGATCTTCAGTGGCTTGTTTAAAGGGTGAACAGAAAATACACAGTCCGTGGTGGGCTCCCTCTTGCATCTCCATAGTCTTCGTCAAGGCAGCCAAGCGTAACAGGCAGTCAAGAGTGGTTTCCTTAAAACTCGAACCTTGACGTTTGAGGTTTCTCCCGCCGAATGTATACTTTTTTGTCCTTTGGATAATGGAGTATTTTGTTTGTGTTGTGATTCTTCTAGGGAGAACTCCCAACTGTTTGGAGCCCAAGCCTCTTTCTTCCTCTTTCTTATATACATAGTTCTGTAGTTTTGCTGTCAAAATCTTCTTGTAACAAAGGTGTGATCATCAAATCAAATCAAACCAACATCATTAAGGTTAGTTATATTACATTCCCACTAGATCGATAGTGCTTTGTAGTATATGCTGTAACAGTCACTGGTTGCTTCTTTGTTTGCTTGACTTTTATAACATAAAACAGTGTGTTTACTTTCACTATTCAAGTTTTCAATTTTCATTTTCTGGTGTTTTGTTTTGTTCTCTAATTTGTGAAACAGTACAAAATTATTTGTAATGGTATAAGTACATGTGTGCTTCTTAGTGTTTTGGGTCTATTTTCAAGTATCCAAGTAAGGGTAATGTTTGCGTATACACGCACAAATCTATGATCGTTCCTTATAAACAAATTCCCCAATTGTTTTCTTCACTAGTTCAATTCTAAGATTTATGGATAGAAGTACTAAATTTATTTTGGAATGTATTAAAGGTATTCCGTATTGAATAAATACTTTGTGTCTGATAAAAATCTTCTAACTTTGTTTTGATCAAATTTTACAAGATTAGTGTCTTTTATGTTTGTCTCACGATTTTTGTTTCATTCTATATTTAGTCATATTTGTGTAGTTTACAATCATTCTTACTTTATTTTATGAAGCATTTTGTTCTTTTTTCATGAATATCAATCCCACAAAAATATTTTTCTTAATTTGTGTGCTACTCTCATGTCCCCAAAAATAGTGGGACATGAGGAGTATTTAGTTGGAGTGTAAATTTAATTTGGTTCATATCAAGATCATAGTGGGACATGAGGAGTATTTAGTTGGAGTGTAAATTACATCTTGACAAGATGTAATTTTGATATACTCACTATGTCCTAGAGTCAAAGTTTCATTTTTTAAATCAGATGTTCCAAAACTTAAGTCTAATTTATTCATTTGGCATATTTAAGTCACTTCGAACACTATATTTTATTTACTTTTTTCATGTTTTTAACTATACTTTTTATGCTCCATTTTCTTTCTTATTTCAAACACTTTTAATTAATCTATCCTTTTCTTTAATGTTTGTAACTATTTTACTCTTTTGTGTAAAGTCAAACCCAGGTTTTTATTTTAAAAAAAGGGAGTATCAAACTTTAATACGCACTACACATTCTCAAAAAAAAGTTTCACATTTGAATTGATTCACATATTAAGAAGAGTAAACTTGAAGGGTAAATTTCACCAATGGTACCTGAACTTTAGCTGGAATTTCGAAGTGGTACCTGAACTTCAAGTGACCCGAAAAAACTTTTCAAAAGTATAAAATTGAGCTTTTTATATTCAACGGAAAAGAATATATAGAACCTGTTCATATGACGGGTAACGGTTTTTTAACTTCATTTACTAATGATCAACACACGTGACCAAAAAACGGAGAAGATTTTTATGGGATTGAAGAAGTAAAGTAAAATGAGTAAATTCCCAAAATGGTAGTCAATAACTATATGTTTTTTCAAATTAGTTTTTAAATTTAACTAATTCTCAAAATGGTATTCGTTAATTGAGAATAATGTTCAGTTCAGTTCTTCCGACTAACGGCCGTTAAAATTGCATTAAACTTTATGTTATTTTTAATTGTGTGTTTTTTCAAATTGATCAATTTTCAAAATAAAAGTACACTAATTGTGGAAAAAGAGAAATGTACTTAAATAACACTAAAACATAATGACTTTCCCCAAATAGCACCACATGTGTTTTTCTTCCCAATGTAGCACTTTTAGTCATTATGTATTAGTCATTATTCAAGTAAATATTTGCCTTCACAGGACATTATTAAATGCTATTTAGGGAATAAAACAATTTAAGTGCTATTTAGAAAAATGACTTAAGTTTAGTGCTATTTAGTGCAAATATTTCTATGGAAAAATGTTAAAAACTAATTTGAAAAAACATATAATTATTGAATAGGATTTGAGAATTTAGTCAAGTAAAATAGAAGGAGAGTAGTAAGAGGCCGGTTCTAGAGCCACTGGAATCCAGTGGCTACGGAAGCCACTGCCTCACTACGGAGCTCCGTTCATGAAATTGATGATTCCCACCCTCTAACCCCCCCGGTAAACCCCCGCCAAGTCTCGACCCAAACTACTCCCCTCACCTACGTCAATTGCACCTCGCAAGTATAAAGTCAAAAATTTTGACTTTAAATTCAATTATACTTGCGAGGTGCAATTGACATAAGTGGGGGGAGTAGTTTGAGTCGAGACTTGGCAGGGGATTTACGGATGGATTAGGGGGTAGGAATCATCAATTTCATGAACAGAGCTCCGTAGGCCAGTGACTTCCGTAGCCACCGGAAGGATTCGAGTGGCTCTAGAATCGGCCTCCAAGTAGTAAAAGTGAGAAGAATAGAAGATAATGAATAAGTGGAAGAGGCGCGAGTCGTTTGGCATCTAATTCAATCTATAACTCTCTTTCCCAACCAAGAAACAAACAAACAAAGAAAGAAAAAAAAGGGAAGTTCACAAGGAAGGAAAGATGTTTGAGCACATAACAGCGAGCGAAGTAGCTGGCTACGCCGTCGGTGCTCTGCTACTGTGCGCCACCGTCTCCGCCTACAAGGTCGACTCCTTCGTCGCTTCTTCCCAGCGCAGGTTACTCATGATGTTTTTATCTGTCCCGGCCCAAAAAAAATATACTCCTAAATAATATCAAAAAATACTGTGAAATGCCAATATGTTTGATTTGGTATGTATTTTATTTTTTTGTGTGTGGTGATTTTCTTTAATTGATGGGATCGAGAGCAGTTCGCTTGGGATGTGTAAGAGATGTGGGGATCTGAAGCTGATAGCTTGCCGGCAATGTAAGGGCGGCGCCCGCCGCTCCCCCGCCGCCAGTTTTCCACTGCCCCCTTCTCCTTCTTCTTCTTCTAGTTGTACCAAGTGCCAAGCCAGAGGCTACTTTCGCTGCCCTGACTGCTCAACTTAAACCCAATCTTAATTATCTGCGCCTGCTGTGAAAAGAGCCATTATTTTTAGACTGTAAATGAATGGTTCTTCTTAGAATAATAGATTGTACTCTCTACTTGTTTTACTTCTACATTTACCTGTCATTAAGGAAATTTCCTCCGACCCCAATTTGATTACAATTTTTTTCTCCTCTCGACAACATTTGTTTTTTTTACGCGATTTCATTAAATGTTTAATCAAATAAAATATTTTTGTCACCTCTTGTTTTGTAAAACTTTTGACCTAGTATTCTACGGAGTAATATGTAATTTTAATTTTAATTTCTTATCGATTTATATATATATATATATATATATATATATATATATATATATATATATATATATACTTTCTCGCTCCATTGATTTTTCTTCAAGGTTTGACCCCGGACCCAAATTTATATGGGACTAAAATAACATTGACTTTCTTAAAGTACATCCACAAGCATTGAGCCAAACACACCTAACTACTTTGAGAACATGTGTTATGGTGCTTGATTCACAAACGTGAAGGAGACGTCGCGTCTCGTCACGGCGTGACCATTGCGGCACCGCGGGCATGACGGAGGCGTGACAAGCGGGGTCTGATGGTGCTCACGGGCATTGCTCTTCTTTTCCTGTTCACACATCATCGCTTCTTATCACACTCTCCATAACATATACTCCCTTCGTCCCAAAATATTTACAACATTTGCTTTTTCAGCAGTTGCGGGAATTTTTATTTATTTCTTCTACGTGTTCATTGGTTATTTGATAAAATAAAATATTCTTGACACGTCTTATTTTGAAGAACTTTTCATGTAGTTTTTGAATATGTAAATTTTATTTTTTATTTCTATACCAATATGTAAATAAAATGAATTAAAAAAACTTAATATTTTACCTCAAGAGTGTGGAAAATATTAAGAGAGGGAGGAAATATTCTTTATATCTCGTCAAGTCTTTCTCAAGATGGCCATAACATATGGCTTGATAGTTGATAGGTATGAATTGCCCTGCCGTTACTATTAAAAAAGGTGGATTCTTTTGATCAAATAATGGCCAAGATAAGTCTCATCATTGTGGAAAATGGAAATCGTACATATATGAAGAAACCCGTTTGGTAGAAGTCTATTCGAACTTGGGCAAAAAAATAGGATTAACTGCGAGTAAAAAATTATGAAAATACTAAAATAAAAACTTTAAGTATTTTTAAATTAAAATAAGAGTTTACATTGTTATTTTTATACTATCACATTTACTATATTGTCATATTAAAACTGCCACATTATCATTGTGACACTGTCTTCTGTTACCACCAACCACTAGAGTGCTACTAGGAACTGCCAATAGTTGAGGGATCCACTGCATATAACATTGTCATCACTTTTCAATTACACTACCAACACGTATTTTTACATCACACTATAATTATGCTCCTGTTTCGGTCTTAAAAGACTTAGGGCTCCTATTTTATATTTTCATTCTTTTTTATTCCTATCCAAGTGATTTCTTAAAAAAATATTAGAATGCTCAATGATAGACATGACAAAAACGGAGCCGACCTGTTTTTTATCCGAAACACGACCCAGAAATATTGGGCTTTGAACAAAGGTTCTGTTGTTTGAATCAAAAGTCGACCAAACCTGAAATGATCCGCTAAGAATGGGTCAAACTCGAGCGATCGAGAACCTGACCAGACCGACACGCTAATGTAAGAGTTTTTTAAAATCACATCCTTTATTACGAAATATAGTGTTATAAAAATAAGGTTATAATTATATATTTTTTTGTTACTACTCATTTTTAGTGTATAAATGTATACTTTGAGACGAAATATTAATGATATTGCATAACTATCTTACTTTATTCACAAAACTATGCATTTTTTAAAATCCTTTATATTGATTTATATACCTAAAAATTACTTCGGAATTTAAAGCAAAATAATATAATAGATTTAATACATATTTTTTGATATTTTAAATTTTATTTAATGCAAAATGCACGTGTTAATATGAATTTAAAAATTTTAAAAACCAAGCACATAACTCGTTTGTTCGACCTGAAACCAAACCCGATGACATTGAATCATGAACATACAATTCTCAACCCAAACCCGAATTGACCCGAATCTGAAGTGACCAAACTTGAACTCGGCTTGACCGACCGATTTGACAGGTCTACTTAATAATATGGTTTTAGTCATATTTAAGTTGCATATATGTTGACTATTCATAAAGTCAAGTTTTAATCATTTTCTCTACTCTTTTTTTACTCACTTGATAAAATAATATAATCAAGTCACTTCTAGTAGAATTTTTTATTAAATTCTTAAATATAAAAATTTTATTTTTTTAATTCTTCACTAATTTTCAAATTCAATAAAATGAAATAATTTTAGTCAAACTTCGTAAACAACAATGAATAATTCAAATTAGAACGTAGAGAGTATTTAGGTTGGTGACTTTGGTCTTTCGAGAAGTTGTCTTCAACCCGATGTACACAAGATCGAAGGTATTACATTAGATAAAACTCTCAAAAGCCCTGATGATCTCGGGAATCGATATAGGCCACATTAGTATAATACTCATCACAATCATCAGTATACATTGACTTTCTACAATTTTTAATGTATGACTTTAACCATTAATATTTACAATTATACACGGATATATCTTATAAAAACACGATACTCCACATCTAAATAAAATATTTTTTTTAAAATCAATCCATTCATAGTATATTTATATCAAAAATCAATAAAGAATAGGGAGTACAATTTTTTTGTATTTTGTAATCAAAGTTTATAAAATTATTAAATCAAGAAAAGTCAAGTTGTATAATTAAACTTTATTTAAATGAAAAAAATATAAAAATCACACTTTTTGGTTTTTTAGCTTACTTTTTAAAGATAAATGTCAATAACACACTCACACACCCAAATTAATTCACCCCCAATTTAAAGTAGAAGCACCTTCAAAAGTTCGACACTTTTTAACTTTAAAATAACTGACACGTGAAACACATTTTCGGATGAAGGAAATAGTAACTTTGGATGTTGCTTAATCCACATCCACCCATTATAACTAAATCTAATACATTTATGTTAAATGAATAACTTTCTCTTTAAAGACTAATGTTAGAGTTACAAACAAAATAATCATAAAATTCACAATTTAATATGAATTTTTGTGTTTCTAAGAGCAAAATTCTCCACTTAACATTAAGAGTCTGTTCATTAGGAATGGAAAAAAAGCTGGGTGTTGAAAGAAACTGGAAGGAACTGGAAAACCTTTAAAAAATTGGAAAACCTAAAAAACTTTAAAAAATTTATTTTAGTGTATTTTTATACTATTCTCATTCTAATTCTTTTTGTTATAAATTATTATTATTATTATTATTAATGTTGTTGTTGTTGTTATCACTATCATCATCATGATATCTTAATTAATGTCTTTAAGATAAAAAAGTATTGTTATTTTTCATATACAAAAAAACTACTTTTACAAAAATATAATTATAATATAAAGGTAGTATACATATCAAAATGTTATATTTATTATAAATAATATATTTGTAATTATACTTTATATATTACAAGATTTTGTTTTAAATATCAGACATGTCACATAATGTAATTAAACCTTTTTTTCTTTCATGATTGATATTTTATTTTCATTGTAACTCCTATTTTTGAAAAAAAAGAACTTTTTTTTACATTTTTTATGTTTTACTCCTATTTTAGTCTTTTTTTCTCTAAACTATTTTGACTTTCAATTTTTTTTTATAAAAATTTAAAAAATGAGAAAAATTTGAGGAATAAAGGGAAATGTGAGGGATTTTATATAAAATTAGATTAATAAAACATTATATGTAACTATTTTATCCATAAATTTTTAGTATAGTTTAAAATGTAGATTAGTATATACAAAAATTATCTAATTCATATTAAAAAGTTGAAGAAAAAATAATGAGTGTGAATCGTAAAAATAGTGAGATGAAAAAAATAATTTATATACTATATTTATGAACACAACAGTTGTAATAATAATAATAATAATAATAATAAGAGTAAATTCCCAAAATGGTCATTTGTAATAAAGTGTTTTTCCAATTCAGTCTTTAATAAGTTTTAATAACCTACATGGTCCTCTATAATTGAGATTTATTCGCAAGATAGTCCTGTGTAAATAATGTTACTCAAATGATAATTAATTAAGACATATTTTGGTATTTTGATCATCCAAATTTAAAGTATATTTTCGAAACAGTTATTTTTGTAAAACTAAATGTAAAATTAACAAACTACATTGACTATAAATAATTCATAAATTATTTAAAACTTATAAAAAAAAAATCTTTTAAATTTCAAATCAAATCCACATCTTTAATTAGAAAAACCATTTTGGGAAAACACTTCTTTATAAATGATCATTTTATGAATTAATTCTAAATTTAGTGGATAAAAAATATCAAAATACCATCAATTAATCCTTATTTGAGTAACATTATTTACAAAGGACCATCTTGAGAATAAATCTCAATTATAGAGGATTATGTAGGTAATTAAAATTTATTGAGGACTAATTTGAAAAAAATTTATATTACAAAGAACTATTTTGGAAATTTATTCTAAAACCTTAAATTAGTATTCTCGAACTTAAATTAGTACTACCTCCGTCCCAGTGTATTTGTCCAGTTTGACTTTTTCGGGTCAAACTGGACAAACTTAGAACTCTAATTACTCTTAATTTATACTGTATATTAACATAATGAAATACAATTTTAGAAGTTCTCAATGCGATAAATTCAATAAAGTCATTTTTATGTTAAAATACATTACAGATTTTATTTAATTGAAACTCAATGTTTATCCAATTTGACTCGAAAAAGTCAAACTAAGTCGCTGAAGATGACATTTTTTCCTCTCTCGTTTTTTTGTTGGATCTTGAATCTCCAACCACACAAACACTTCAGTACTTCAGCACTAATTGACACATCCAATCAAAAACGTGCTTTACTATTGGGTGTAAACATGAAACCCAGTCTAAATTGTTCGGCTTTGCTGGGTATTCTTCTCCTCTCTGAGGTTATAAAACAGTCGATCTTTCCCAAGGGTAATTGTTTCTTCATTTCCTGCAATTGTTTGTGACTCAGAGAATCAAAGATTGCATTTTTTTTCGATTCTTGTTTGGCGTTTTCTCGATTCTTTGTTTATTTTTTTTCAGTTCCTGAGCAGTTTGGGGAATGGCCAATTCCGGAAAGAAGGTGTTGCTTACCTCCAATGGCGACGATATCTGCAACAATATTGCCCACCACTTAGCTCAGCGCGGCTGCCAGTACTCTCTCTCTCTCTCTCTCTAGACTCTAGAAAGTTCAAATCTCTTACTGATTGTTATATTGGATTTTGATAATATGTGAATGAATGTATAGATCTAACTGTTATTTCCTGCCTTTCTTTTTGGGGGTTTTTGGAAAAATATATGAGAATTAATCACATGAATTGTTTGAATTGGCCAAACTTGTTATGATTTATGAACCTGCATCACTCATTAAGCCTTGATAATATCAATATCTAACATGGCCTTTTTGTTGGTATATTTAAAAATAGATTGGTTTTAGTGGGTGATGAAAGAAAGTTGAAGAGAGTAGCTGAGATGATAAGGCAATCTCTAGATGGGAGTGTTGTGGTGGAAGTGGTCGGTTTGAACATGGAAGACGAGCGAGAGACTGCGTTTGATGAAGCAGTTGACAAAGCTTGGAAAGTTTTAGGCTACTTGGATGCTTTAGTCCATTGCTATTCTTATGAAGGTAGAGGTTTCCATCATCTATAACCCTCTATACAAAGGCATAGTTTAAAGCTGACAATATCATACTAAATGCTTGGGATGAATCGTCCCCTTTGGGTATGGATATGTTTTTCGGAACCTTAGGCATCAATACTTCAATACTAATGGAGCTGAGGGGTACTCTTACATATATTCCTGATGTGTGATGAATGGTGTGCAACAGGGAAGATTCAAGATCCTCTTGAGTTAGGGGAAGACGAGTTCAAAAAGATTGTGAAGGTTAATTTCATGGCTGCTTGGTATTTGTTGAAAGCTGTGGGGAAACGGTTGCGCGACAGGAAATCAGGAGGGTCTATTGTGTTTTTGTCTTCGATCCTTGGTGCCGAGAGAGGATTATATCCGGGAGCTGCTGCATATGGTTCTTGTTTGGCTGGAGTTCAGCAGCTTGTTAGGGTAAGCTGATTTTCTTGTCATTCATCACAACAATTTGTTCTTGTTTCAGTACTTGATGATGATTATCAATCCTTAAGGGCACATTTGGTTTAGTAAATCTCACATTACTTTTGATTAACACTAGAGGGCAGTTAACTTGTTACTTGACTTACTTATATTACTATTAATTATACAACAGACAGCAGCATTGGAGATAGGAAAGCACCAGATAAGGGTGAATGGGATTGCGCGGGGCTTGCATTTGAACGATGAGTTCCCAACATGGGTAGGAAAAGAGAGAGCAGAGAAGTTGGTGAAGGATGCGGTCCCACTGAACCGATGGCTCGACGTGGAAAAAGACTTGGCTTCAACTGTCATCTACCTCATCAGCGATGGGTCCCGTTACATGACTGGGACCACCATATTCGTCGACGGGGCGCAGTCCTTGGCCAAGCCTCGCATGAAATCATACATGTGAAATCTACCTGATAGGATCTCATCTCTTTGTCTGATCTTCTGGTTTTTCTTCAAGCATTGTTTTTTAAAACTCTTTTCAACATGATTGATTCATGTTATTATTGTTATTTGTTGTTGTTGTTTGGCAGATGAGGTATAGTAGTTGCCAATTGTTTGACTTGTGGCTATAATTATGAAACAATGAAAGAAATAACATTATAAATAATGATTAGTAAGAATATTTTAATAATTTTCAAGTTCTTATTCTTCATTTCTAATCTTCCCACACTCTAAAAATTCTAATCTTCCAATTCATACATCCTTTGGTTTTGAATGTTTTCCTTGTGTTCGCATGATTTTTTTAATCATCGGAACACTTTAAAACGATTTCGTTGATGTTCAAAATAATGACCGGCGAACATTTTTAGTGTTTAGGCAACAATGTAATAAGAATGTTACATCTAACAACATAAGTAACTTTGTTGAAATGCTAATTTCGTGTGCACATAAATAAGCATTATTTCTGCATTTAAGTTATACGGAGTATTTAATAAATTTTTAAATGCTGACAAGCATTTCTTTTGAGAGGAGTTTAAGAAAAAAAAATGGATAGAAAACAAGGGTTATGATGTTGGACTTCAATTAAGTATAGGCATTGTATAATTTAAATTATGCAATGTTTTGCTATCTTTTCTTCCATTTCCTTTTTCTTTTTAAATTTAAAATAAGGCTATGAGTCCAATCGACCTGAGCATCATGAAAGATTTGTGGTGTATGTACAACTTGTTTGGTGAGCGAAGAAGATATAAGTTTTGATATCTCTTGATATCAAAACTCATTTTTGGTGTTTGAGGAAGCAAAAAGAGAATTCAGATAAATAATTAACATTCAACAAATAAGTTTCATTTGTTCAATTAATTATTAAATTATCTCTGTGTATCAGTAAAACACACGAGTCTCTTCTTCTTCCTTTAAGAGCTGCACACCATATATGGGCATCTAGCAACCGCCCCTCTACATCGTGCTTAGGATGTGGCCTCGTGTCTTGGGAGCATAGATCGTACTAAAGTAATGTTTTGAATAATTACTGTTTGCTTTTGCACCGTTTACCTTGATATTTAAAATACTCTTTTGAAGTAAATGGTTTGAATTGCTTGGAAAACATTATAGGTGGATACTAGTTCAATTTAGTAGCAATTTGACCCGCTAATTATATTAATGAATTTAGGTTATGCGTGTGGAAATGTTACACTAGGCCACCCTTAGGTACCATAGGTCATCCCTTAAGGCACCTCAGGTTGTCTTTCCTAGGTAGTTTGATTTGTTAACTAGAATAACCAACGATATGATGAGGTCATCTTATGACAATGTCATTTGACGATGAGCTCGTCCATGAACGTGCTCATTGTCAAGTTTTTTTCTAATTACATGATCATCCAATGACATGATTATATGATGATGAATTGAACTCACCCGTTAAGGTGGCCTGAAGATAGGGTCATTGTCGAGCAAGGCTATCCTGATAAGGTCATATTATGAGAAGGTTGTCTAATGACGACATCATCATCAAGGTTTGGATGACGAGGTCATTTGATGAAAAGTACATCCAACGATGATGTTGTACAGTCGTCTTAAATGTTCTTATAATAAAGTCATCTGATGAAAAAGTCATCCAACAACGTGGTCTCCGTCAAGGGTTTGATGACGAGGTCATCTATTGACTAAGTCATCCGATGACAAGGTTGTCTCATGCTGAGGTCATTGTCAATGTTCGTTGTCTATAGATGTTGTTTATAAGGTCCAAGAAAGTATGATCCATATGACCATAATTCACTAGTCTCCCATGGTTGAGCGCATAACTAACCTTGATGACCCCGAGTCGATCTCTCGAGTTCGGTGGTTCTTAAAGACAATCATTCAATTCACCTTGTAACATTTGGTAAAGGAGAATTCCTTGGTGAGATTAAGCATTTGACGTGCTCCACCACTTGTCTTGCTTGACTCTTGGTCTCCTTTCTCGCTCGTTGTCCAACCTTTGTCAACTTAGTGCATGCCGCTCACCTCTCTGAAGTTAAACACATTGTCAAACTTTATACTTACTATGTCCATAATTTTCTTCTTAGTTTGACTAAGCATGACTTTTATTATGCAAAATTTATGCCATTACTCCTTACTCCAACAAATTCACTATTTTACACCAATACTCCCGAACTTAATAAATTAATTGACACAATCACTCCAAGGATTCTCATATTTTTACGATATTACTCTCCTGCTACTTCACTTGCAACATGGATTTTTTATTATCACATGTCAAGTTTTCATTTTTGACCTTTGCTTAATCACCTGGTCCTAGTATCATTATTTTTCTATTTTTACGCTCTAGAAGTCGGGGATAAATCTCTGAGTTTTATATCAATTTATTTTCTTTTTTTAACAAAGAGCAAGGGGCAACACTGTCAATTTTCATATTAATTTCTTTTTTGTTTAAAAAACAATGGCAAAACATAGCATTTGTTTCCATAATAATTATTTTAAATTATACTGCGTAATAAGTTAGACTATTTCGTCACATGAACATCGTAATTAACAATTAAAAGAAGAGAGACTATTATGGGACGTAATAAAAAATGGAAAATGGCAGATAGATGTACCTGCCACTATTTAAAAAAAAGAGAAACTAACAAATTATTCCACCACTTCTAGAGCATAAAAAAATGGCAGTCTGATCCTCTACTATATAAATAAAAGAAAATAATTAAAAATAATAACCGACCTACCATGTAGCGGGTGATTAAGTATGGGTGAAAAAGAAAACTTGTCAGGTCATAAAAAATCTACACGAAAAGTATTTAAACAAGTGATGTGTCACGGAGAGCAATGTCATAAAAATATGTAAATTGTTGGAGTGATGATGTCATTTATAAATTTGAGAGTGTTAGTGTAAAATAATATTGGTGATTTTGTTGGAGTAACGATGTAAAATTTTTCTTTATAATAAAGTGAAACGTGTGTGGTTGTACGCTTATACCTTTAAAAAGAATGTATCTGATTGTAAGTTATATTTTAGATAAAGGAAAAAGAAATAGTATGAAAGTAGATTTTTTTTTGAGATCTTCCACTTTTGAATCAGGTGATCAACGTTTTAAAATTTCGATGACCACCTAGTCCCGTTCACTCTATGAGGAAGAGAGCTGGCCCAAGGGGAATTATCACCGGTGGAAACGGAACCTACGTCTTTCTCCCCACATGGAAGCTCTTTTGCTACTTGAACTACCCACTTAGTTTATTTTATTTGTTAACTTCATAGAAATAAATTAAATTAAAAATAGTTTCAAAAAAAAATAAAAAGTGAAAAGAGAAAAAAATGAGAGAAAGATTCTTTTTCAAACAAGGAGTGTACACAGTAACTTTTAACATCTTGCGGCATATTAATTGGGGGAGTAAAACGTTTATGGTTTTGTTGGGTTCTCCCAAAAGTTTTTGCAACCAGAGATGATGAGATAATGATGTACTTCTTCTACACATACATACCATACCCACCCACCCACTACCACCACAGCATATGCTCCTACAGTCCGACCTCAAAAACCCCCAAAAACTCTGGACACAGCGAGACTTTTTAATCCCACCCGTTCTTTTGATTGATCCCACTTGGGGTTTCTCGCAGTAAAACCGACTCCGGGAGGGGATCGGAGGTCTGCCTTTCTCCGCCGTGGAAGATGATGAATTTTCCGATGATACTTTCTTGATTCTCCTCTCCCCTTTCTTTGAATATATTTATATATTTAGGAAAGAAAAAAAAGCTTCTTTTTTGTCCTGGGTTAATGATTCCCACTACAGTGTGCAAAAAACAAAGAAACCTTCGTTTTGCGTGCTTCTCTTTCTTTCCTCCGTGTTCTACAAAAAGGGCAAGACTTTGATTGGATTTTGCTGTTCCAGTTGGTGAATTGGCTGAATCGGAGTTGCCCACCCTGTTATTTTACTCTATTTTGCCTTAAATTTCAGTTGGTGTGAATGGGTCTGGTCTCAAGCTGCCAAGGCAATTTTCTTGAAGATGTCTATGAGTTCTAACATCCATGTAATGAAGGGAAGCTTCTCCTCTAAGGTCAGGCTGAAGAAGGCTAGAGATTCCCCGCATGACGGGTTGAACTGGAGAAGGAACTTTTGGGTGCTGTGGCTCTTTCTTGTTGCGATTGGATTCATTTGGTTGCTGATTAGCTCTTCGTATGGGGGTTTGAGGAGGAGTAGGGAGAGCTCGCCCGAATTGGATGGAAGCAAAGTCAGGTTTTTGCTTCAGCATTTCAATGTCAGCAGGGACGAACGTCGAGCTCTAGCTTCCTATTTTGTTGACACAGATCTGGTGAGTCTTTCATTCTTTCTAAATTGCGGACTTGGCTCTGTATGAAGAATTGAAGATACTAATCTATTTAATCTTCCCAGATGTTTTTTTCTTGTCTTTTTTTGTGTTCTTTATAGTGCTAAAGAATTATCCAGTAGCTCAAATTGGTTAAATATGCACTTTTACCTTTATTAGAGTCATACCAAACACACTCTAATGGTTTATAGTAGGAATGCCCCCTTTTAGTAATCATCACTTATTATAGTAGTGGGAGTTATACTTAATTTAAGCACCACTTTGAGGCCAACTTTAGTGAATCTGGAAAATTCAATATTGTTTCCAAAGGGAGCCAAAATCGTTTTAAAGTTTCTTTCCTAATATATTGTGTAGTAGGTACGTTCTTGATGCTTTATTACTTGTGAGATGTGTAGTAGGTGAAAATGGTGATTCTAGAATGTCACCGCTGAGCTGTTTTCAGTTGAACAACTTTTCTTTCATTGCTTTTGTTTTTGTGGCTTCCATTCATTTATCATTTGTACTCTGGATATAGAGTATATTGTAATGAAGGGCCTTGATGATTAAATCTCGGGGAGGTTGGTAAATGGGTTTGATTTTACCCAAAGTGTAGTTGTGGTTAACTCATATAGCTCAATAAAATACTTACAACTTCTTCGCAACTGTTTCTCTCTTCTTGAGCCTGCTGTCCACCAGAAGATAAACATATTTCTATGGTGTAAACATGGGAAGTCTTATTTAGGGTTTGCTTGAAACCTTGAAGATACTAAGGAAAATTGGGAAGACAATAGAGAGTAAAATTAGCAGGAAAGTAAATTTTGGGGATAATAAAAGATGCAATCAAATTCATTTAGTTTATTTTAGATATTTGTTCAAGATTAACAACAACCTACCAAATAAAATTCCACGGTCTTGGTGGAGGGGTGCGTTTACCTAAAAAAGTAGAGACTTTTTTTTTCAAAAGACCCTCTCCCATGGCTATAATTGTTCAAGATCTTTTATTTGTTAATTTATTTCTAATAACTTTTAGAAATAGAAATCTACATTTATGTTAAAAAAAATTAAATACCTTTACTTAGTCTTCCCCTCTTTCCCTAATACTTTCCAGGATCCAAACATATCCTTAGGAGACATGATGACTTTCAATACCTTGAAGTCGAGCAATAGAGGTGTTGGCTCCATACACAAAGTTAGTTTTGGAGTTTTATGAAGTTGTGAAAAAGACATATTATTCGAGAGTTGAGACAGGTTTGGGTGGTTGAGGATAGATGGTCACTTTTACTTTGGATAAGATGCCATTAGTCCCAGCTAAGGTTCGAGAGAAAATTAGGCAACATGCAATCTGATCATATATGTGACATGGTCTCAAACTCAGTTCTTGACAGATTTTCAGGAATCTAGCTTAGTCCTCGCTCAGATCCTTATAATTTATAAGGCACCTTTTATTAGGAGTCTGTGGTCCCTTTTATAAGGCAATGTTTTTATGGGGCATTTATGGTTTTCCTATGGTTACTCCCTCCATCCCATAAAAAATTTCTGGCTTGACTTTCTCGGGGTTTTAGAAAAGCATTGAAAAGTGAAAGGTGAATGGTTGAAATGCATATACCTCCCCTTGTCATTTGAATTTCAAAAACTCAAATTTTGGAATTGAAATGAAATGTTAGTTCTCAAACACGACCTTAACTACTTTCCTTTGTTGGTGTGACCTCGTCAATTGTGCTTTATGGAGAGGAATAACATACTTCTTTAGTTCCTAGATTGAAATGCTTTTGATCCACTTTATTTGGCTTCTCTTACTCCTCTCAGTCTCAGTGATAGAATATTAATTTAATACATTTATTCTTCTGCAGATTTCATTATTAAAACGTAGCGGAAACCTGAGATATGAATCTAGTCTTGTTACCGCCGTCACTTGCGTTCTCAAAGTATTAACTTCAGAAAACCAATGTTATGAGCAGCAATGTGAATTGGCAGAGAAACTAGATGCATATGGACTGTGTCCTGTTTCAGATCAGAAAACCATTAGGCTTATCAACTCGGTTCTACAACAGACATCTGCACCATTTGTTTCACATTGTGTACCATCTTCAGTCTCACCACACCATCAGTTTTCTGGAAAGGTATGGAGCTCTTGTAGATAGATAAAGCTTGTGTTGATTCTCATCCCATCAAAAAATAAAACTAAGCTATTTTGGGTTTGCTTTTCTTTCCAGGACAAAAGAATTTCAATTTTTTCATTTTTATCCTTATTTTGATTTATGTGCCACAAACTGCGGCAATTCTTTATTTTTTTCATGAAAGCGTTTTAACCCATTAAAAGGGGAAAAGAGTTACATTTTGTTCCAGTATGCTAGATGGTGTGGCATGAGTTGCTGTTTTCTGACACATGGATGCACAGTGCCTCAATGTATCATGTACATTTGCATTGATCTTGTAGAAATTTTTCAAGTCCCCATTTGTTTCCCAAAAAATGTTCTTCAAGAAAATGTTTTCCTGATGTTCCTGATCAATTTTGTTTTTTCTGTTTTGTGGGTAAACATATTTTTATATTAGAACATCACATTTTCAAGCAAGGATAACATTTTTGTAGGATAACAATCTACCCAAAATAATTTCCACAGCAATTTATTTTCCTGTAAAGAAACAGAGTCTAAATCTGATCTACAAGTGTTTACAAAGAAATTGATAAAAATAATAAATCATAAGTTATACCCCCCCCCCACCATCCCCACGCCCACCATAAAAAAAGAAGAACAAAAATGAAAAGATAATCTGCTAGAATATAAAAACATTTCCTGGGGCAACCATAAGCTTGAGCTTGTTGGTTGAGTTGGTTCTTTGATATGGTATCAAAGTCTTATTGACCAAGAAGTCACAAGTTCAAAAGTTACAGCCACCCATTTTTTAAAAAAATAAAGGTTTCACGTGCAAGGCTCGAAGCAACCACCAACCACTCTTCCACATGAGGGGGTGTGTTAGAAACTTAGAATATAAAAACATTTCTTGGGCCTATGACCATAAGCTTGAGTTTGTTGCTTGAGTTGGTTCCTTGGCATAATCTAAAAAGATTTGATAAGATTTGGAAAGTTTATATTTCATCTATATTTACTTGCATCAGGAAACATTGCAAGTGAGAGCAATTGGAGATCAGTGCAAGGATATAGCCTTCTGTTTCACAAAGGTATGCTGGTGGATCCTTCTTGGCATTGCTGTCTGCTGGAAACTAAGATGGTTGCATGGAGAGTCAGGTGGAAACGAACAACAGAGAGTAGCCGTGCAGCAAGAGTTGGCTCAGCAACCTCAGCTACTGCAACACCTGCAACAGCAGCAAGCTCATGTTGCCTCTAGAGTCGCTCGAAGGTGGAGGGAAAAGCTTCTTGTTTTTTTTGTATCATGTGGTGTGATAGGATCCATCGGGATATTCTGGAAAATGAACAAAGATGCCACATTGGAAAGGAAAACCACACTGGCGAGCATGTGTGATGAACGAGCACGAATGCTGCAGGACCAGTTTAATGTCAGTATGAACCATGTCCATTCACTGGCTATTCTCGTCTCCACATTTCATCATGGAAAGAAACCTTCAGCTATAGATCAGGTGACATTATTATCTCTAAATTCTTAGGGTGTCTTTGGATCCCGGAAATGTTAGGGAATGGAAAAGCAATGCTATGGAGAGTTACTACTTAATGTTTGGCTTTACCTTAAAAAATGCTAGGGATAATGAAATATAAATTATTTTCAAGTTTTGTACTTACATAGTTATATTTATATTTCTTCATGTTTATATAAATAAATTAAATGAATTTAGGCAAAAGAATGAAATAAATCTATTGACTTTGAATGTATCTTTTAGACTTTAATTTCTTCCAAGTTCTTTCTTTCCAATTTGCTCTTAGATTCCTCTCTAGCATCTTTCCCCGGTATTTTCCAGGTTTCAAATGGATCATTAGGGGCCACGAAAGTAAAAATGAGAGCAACATTTTTTTCTTTCTTTCTCATATCTCCCCTTGGGAAAAAAAAGTAATGGTGGTTTTAGATTTGGGCTGGAAAGGTTGGCCATAATGCCCTATCCTGATGTATTTACCCTACAAATTGCAGAGAACTTTTGAAGAATTCACTGAGAGAACATCATTTGAGAGACCACTGACAAGTGGTGTGGCTTATGCACTAAGGGTTCTCCACTCAGAAAGAGAAAATTTTGAGAAGCGGCAGGGATGGTCAATCAAGAAAATGGAAGCTGAGGATCAAACTCTGGCCCAAGAATATATGCCTGGGAACTTGGATAATGCTCCGGATCGAGATGAATATGCACCAGTCATATTTTCTCAACAAACTGTCTCCCATATCGTGTCCATTGATATGATGTCTGGAAAGGTTTGTTTTTATCTTTGCTGGATGACTCAGTGAGCTGTAGAGAGTTAGGGGCTATTAATCTCTTATTAGCTTCTACTTAGTGTTGTTGATGTTTTACAGGAAGACCGTGAAAACATATTACGCGCTAGGGCATCTGGGAAGGGAGTCCTGACATCACCTTTTAAGTTATTGAAGTCCAATAACTTAGGTGTAGTGCTTACATTTGCTGTATATAACACTCATCTTGCTCTCTCTGCTACACCAGATCAACGTATTAGTGCAACTGTTGGGTAGATCATCAACCTGAACATTGGAATTCCTGTATACAGCTTTCATTAAACCCTTTTTGTCTTTTATGACTCGATAGTTATTTTCTTGTCATGTTGTCATCTGTGATAAAGGTATATCGGTGCTTCTTATGACGTTCCCTCATTAGTTGAGAAGCTTCTACACCAGCTTGCCAGCAAACACACTATTGTTGTGAATGTTTACGATACAACAAACACATCTGCTCCAATGAAAATGTATGGCACAGATGAGGGTCAGATGGATTTCCTCCATGTTAGCAGCCTTGAGTTTGGAGATCCTGCTCGGAAGCATGAGATGCATTGCAGGTTAGAGAAGTAAATTAAATATATGAGGGAAAAAAAGTGTATTGATCCAAAATTTTGTTTAATTATTGATTGTCTGACCGAACTTCTTGCTCAAAACAGATTCAAACATAAACCTCCCCCACACTTGATAGCGATAGCAGCTTCTTTTGGAGCTCTTGTCATCACTTTGCTTGTTGGCCAAATATTCCATGCTGCCTTCAATCGGATTGCTAAATTTGAACGCGACTATCAGAAGATGATGAAGCTCAAACATCGTGCTGAGGCTGCAGATATTGCTAAATCCCAGGTACTTTACCCCTCTAAATGAGTGATCTTCAAAATGTGTAATTCTTTGATATGTCTTTCCCAGATTCTTTCTGTTTCACACTCTTTCTTTATTTATATCTCCTTGTTTCCCTCTAATTTCCTTCCAGACCTTTTTTGCATTTTATGATATTTTTTTGAACCCCGTGCTCTTCTGCAGTTTCTTGCTACAGTTTCTCATGAAATCAGGACTCCAATGAATGGCGTGCTAGGTAATTTAATCTCTTACCTACAAGGGGCTGGGTGGTTAATGAGATGATTGAGATTTGTGAGAATTTGGGACTAATATTTAATCACTGTTTTGGATGAAAATTGATAGAAAATGTTTCACTCTTGTTAGGCATGATTCAGATGCTGATGGATACAACTCTTGATGCCACTCAACGGGACTATGCGCAGACTGCTCATGCTAGTGGGAAGGAGTTGATAACATTAATCAATGGGGTGTTGGATCAGGCTAAAATTGAATCGGGGCGACTTGAGTTGGAAGCTGTACCTTTTCATATAAGAGCAGAGCTTGATAATGTCTTGTCACTTACATCCGGAGGATCTCATGAAAAAGGAATTGAGGTATGAAATCGAGTTTCCTTCCATTGCCTTTGATTCGCTTTGTGTTTTGTGTGTCTATTTCCCATGCAATAATTCTTACCATGAGTTTGGATGTTCTCCTGTGGAGAACAGTTGGCTGCTTATGTTTCTGATCAGGTCCCAGAAATGGTTGTTGGAGATCCTGGAAGGTTCAGACAAATAATTGTGAATCTCGTTGGAAACTCAATCAAGGTTTGCCAGTTTTCTCACACTTTGACCCAAAACAGCTAGTTTTTGGTCAAACTTGTAACAACATTTAGAAAGCCGTGCTTGGTAAAGCTCTTCAAGTAGAGCTTTAAGCCATAAGCTTTTCAAATTGAACTTCTTCTAAATAGGGTTTTTTTAGTAGAAGAAGATATGTTTGTTTGGCGTTATATCAAAAAGTACTTTCCAAAAGAAGTTTTGTATGCTTCACTGAAGTTATTTTCAATTTAATTTATTTAAATATCGGTTTAAAATTAAAACATGAATTTTGCATATTTAAAAACTACATCAAAAGTTCTACACAACAATTGGTGACTTACTATTTTATCTTAATAAACACTCAACGGAAATATTTAAGGAAAGATGATATAGTAGAAACTCTAAAGTTCTTTAAGAGAGGACACGAGTAAGTGATAGATGTATAGATTTTGATGCAGTTTCTAAATATATACTACCTCTGTCCCTGAGTATTTGTCCAGTTTTGACTTTTTTCAATCAACTGTTTTCAACTTTTGACCTATAATTAAATGATGTGATGGGTAAAAGTAAGGTGTGATAGTTTAGTTATTAGTGAAAAAGTATGATGTGATAGGTAGGGTATGAAAAAGTATGGGTAAAAGTGGTTTTTTAATAGAAAGTGGAAGTGTTTTAGGGAATTGAAAAAAAACGAAAGGGGGAGGTTTTTATGGAACGGAGGGAGTATTTTATATTAATTCGAAAAAATAACATTTTAAAAATATTTCATATAGTAAGTCTAATAAAATTATATTTATATCAATAACTAATATGACTTTTATTTAATTTGAGGTCAAAGTTTACCAAATTTGACCAAAAAAGTCAAATATGGACAAACACCCAGGGATGGAGGGAGTAATTAAACAAAAATGCACCAATATTTATATAAATTGAGTTGAAAGTTAGTCAAACATCATAAACCAAGACACGAAGATTAAATACAGGCGGAAGGAGTATAGAGGTAAGAAATCTTACAAACCAAGATTTTGGCCTTTTTTGAACTAAAGATTTTGGCATCTTAATGATATTTACATTTAAATCTAATGGTTATTTTCTGTTTTTTGTTTTCCGTTAGTGTATTCCCAGAGTTTTGGAATATTTTCTCTATGAATAACATTAAGGCAGCAATGCATCTCCAACAACATTTCTCAACTGTTGGAGCAGATGCATATTTCCTTTGAAGGGTTGTCAAGATTTTAATTTATTTAACTTATGTTCAAATTGCAGTTCGCAAAAAACAAAGAGGGGCATGTGTTTGTGACAGTACATTTAGTAGATGAAGTGAGGTGTCCGCTTGATGTGAAGGACGAAGTCCTGAAACAAAGCTTACCATCACTAGTTCAGGACACCACAAACTCATCTTTCAACTCTCTGAGTGGGCTCCGTGTGGTCGATAGATGGAGAAGTTGGCAAAATTTCAAGATGTTTAGTGAGGAGGATGAATGTGAGACAATCAAGTTGTTAGTGACAGTTGAAGATACAGGTGTTGGGATTTCACTTGAAGCACAAGGCCGCATTTTCACACCTTTCATGCAGGCTGATAGTTCAACATCTCGGACATATGGAGGAACAGGAATAGGGTTGAGCATAAGCAAGCACTTGGTGGACCTTATGGGCGGCGAAATTGGATTCTTTAGTGAACCTGGCAATGGAAGTACATTTTCCTTCACAGCAGCCTTTTCAAGAGGTTCTGTGGACGCAAAGGGGAAAGAGTGTGACTCGGGTGTTTCAGACTTTGTTGGGCTAAGAGCATTAGTTGTAGACAATAAAACCATTCGAGCAGAAGTCACCCGATACCACCTTCAGAGGCTGAGGTTGAATGTGAAGACAGTGTCCACAGTAGATCATGCATGTTCATATCTATGTTCTTGCTCAAAGACAAGGTAATATTATTCTCCTCATGGGTATGGGCGCGTGGCATGCTTTTAAGCATGTGTACTCAATTATTCGTAGTTATTTACTGCAGAATGGGTATTCTCTTCTACAATCTGTCACTAAAAAACTGAAATAATTTGTAGGATTCCAATAAACTATACACTCCTACCCTATGTTCTGGAAAAAAGTGCTGTTCAAAAGCATTTTTGTCACAAAACGAGTCATATTTCATACAAACAAACAATTTTTAAGTAGTATGCCATCGAATAGTTAAAACACTTCCATTATGATGAATTTATTCAATCTGGTAGATTTAATTAAACTTTGAGATATAAGTTGGATTCCATGACTTCTAAGACTTGTACAATCGCCCGACATGACTTCGTTTGGGACGGAGAGAGTACATGTGTATGTGTGTGTTTGTGTGTGTGTGAGAGAGAGAGAAGACCTTTTGAAACACTGGGTATTTTTTGTTAGTTGCCAGGTGTTTGAATATAAATGGACACTCTTCCTTATACTTGATTTTGCAGTGAACCAGAGCATTTGGACATGATTTTCATTGATAAAGACAACTGGAATAAGGAGACTGCTTTTGCACTTTGTAACATTGTAAAAGCTCTTAGGTCAAATGGCTTGAGGTCTCCCCTGGGATCCACTCCCAAATTGTTTCTGCTGGCAACAGAAATGAGCTCCACTGAACACAATGATCTGAAGTCAGATGGGGCAGTGGATTATGTATTAATAAAGCCCATTTGTTTGAGTACGTTAGTTTCATGCTTTCGTGAAGCTGCTGATTCTAGACATAAGAGTCAAGTGACGAAGCAAAAACCCTCAACTCTTAAAGATCTACTAAATGGCAAACAAATTTTGGTAGTAGACGATAATGCTATAAACAGAAGAGTTGCACAAGGTTCTTTGAAGAGATATGGTGCAATTGTGACGTGTGTGGATGGTGGAGAGTCTGCTTTGGCAGTTCTTAAGCCACCTCACAAATTTGACGTTTGCTTTATGGACCTCCAAATGCCACTTATGGATGGGTATTCTTCTTCACTTCTCAAATCTTCAATCTAATGTTGAAATTAGTCTTATGGATAATGATGATGGCATAGTTGCCGTCAAACATATATACCCGACTTTGCAATTCCTTTTTACTTTGCCATCATTTAAGCTTGACATATTGCCTTAAAAACTCATGTCTTTCCTATCATGCAAGGAACAACTGAAATATCACAATTAGCAAGGGAAGAAATAGCACTATTTGAATATCTAATAAAAAGATATGTTATATGAACCACAACTGTATCCATAAAAGAAAAGTGGAACCCTGTTTGGGATAAACCAAAAAGGAAATGTGGAACCTCTTTCAGGAGGGACAAATGGATTAATACATTTTCATTTCCCATGCATCTGATTATATTGCACTACACTTCTTTATGCCCTAACAACCACACCCTAAATCTTGTCATGAATTTGGAATTGCAACATATAATAGAATTGTGCCCTTACTTTATTTTCCTTCTCCGTTAATAAAATTAGTATTAATTGTTATTGATTTTACAGGTTTGAGGCATCCCGACGAATCCGCGATCTAGAGAATGAATATAATGGAAGAATAAATTCTGGAGAGAGATTGGTTGATGATACTTCTGGCAAAGAGGGTCGTTGGCATATGCCAATATTAGCAATGACAGCAGATGTTACCAGTGCCACAAATGATGAGTGTATGAAATCTGGGATGGATGGTTATGCATCAAAACCAATTGATGAAGCACAGCTATTTTCAGTAATGTCACGTTTGTTTGAATTGGATTGATTCATGGTGCCCTAGGCAGGCGGATATATAGTACCCTCGGATGGCCTCAAAGGAAGGAGCTGATTTTACTAAGCTGTTCAAATATCTGACCTTTTGACTTTGCTGTGGAGATCAACACACGTTCACGACATTTCAGTCGGAGTACACTTGAATTTAGTCCAATCTGGTTGGCAACACTCTCCTTCCATCTCTTTCTGAAAGAAAAAAAAACTCAACTTGTACTTTTCAGGTTCCAAACGGACCCTAAGTATTTTCATGAGCTGAATATAAACAAATGCCAACGTCTGGTTTTCAGGGTTCTTGCCTGCGATGGTTAGTGCTGGCAATGCGAGTCCCCACAACACATAAACGCTTCTGGAGCTCAACCAACAGTTCAACTTCTTGTTCATAACTTCCCAAGGTGCACAAAAAAGAAGATAAATTTCTGCAGCTGTGAATATACCCTCCTGTCTATCCGTGTGTCGTCAATTCTTTGGTTTTTGACCGGTTCCATCTGCACAGGTATGCACGAGGCAACTCGGAGACGATTCATGCCTCTGTAAATGCTTTCCCACTAAGAATAGATAGCTTTTGGTTCTCAAATTTGTCTCTGTGTAAATGCTTGTAATGTGAGTGAAAGGTATGGTTAGGACCCTTTTTTTCAAAATTATCATTTTTTCGTGTTGTAAGTAAATGATACAGTTGTATGTCTGTATGCCTATAGGTAGTTATGACTCTCTTTGGTTTTAGAATGTGAAGTAATATATAGAGTTAATTTCTTCAAAGGTAGAAACATTTAATTTGTTCTCTCATAACTTGATGTTGTTGGTTTCTATTTTTGGACTGCTAAGGCTTGGGGCTTCATAAAGAAGTCAGAACTCCCTTTGGCACCTGATTTGTGTCATGCAAAATAGTGAATATAGTCTGCATGATATATGAGTTCTGTGATTTAAAAAAAAACTTCTAACTATTTATAAAGAGAACAAGTTTGTGTAGTGCACTTATTTTATAAACTTTAAAACAATTTAAAGTAAAAAATAAACATTTATTTTTTAATAATTGATATCTAAAAAAAATATCACCTATAAAAATCAAGAAATATCTATTAGTTATAATAAAAAGTAGAAAATGTGGAAGCATATGAACAATGATATCGAAAATTAGATGGAGAAAAGAACACAAATTTAAAGACTTTAATTAACTAAAAAATGTATATTAATACAGTATAAATTTTGTAAAGACATTTTTCATGAAACTCTGTCTTTCACTTTTCAATTTTTTTTAATTTTGTAAAGTCAAGCCCAAAGATTCTTTCAAAGATGAAGGGAGTATTTATTTTGGGTATTGTTAAATTTAACCCAAAAATAACTATATCAATATCTTATATTTGTTAAATCTACGCTCATTAACATATAACTTTAACATAGGTGTAGATTTAGTAAATTTAAGTAAAAGATTCTTTCAAAGACGAATGGAGTATATATTTTGGGTATTGTTAAATTTAACCCAAAAATAGCTATATGACTTATATCCACATTTCTTATATTTGCTAAATCGACACCCATTAACATAACTTTAACAAAGGCGTAGATTTAGCAAATTTAAGTAAAAAGGGTTGATATGGCCATTTTTGGAGTGATTTAGCAACACTCATTAAATTTTTATCAATCTTTTGTTTAAATAAAATAATTAAGTCATCACTGATTTAATTTCAATTTTATTATAATCCCTTCGTCTAAGACGGGATTGCTCATTCCAATTTATGAGGCTTGAGTGTTTTATTTTCAATTTAATTTATAAAATTTTAAGTTGAAATTTAAAATAAAATTTACATGTTTAAATAAGACACCGAAAAATCATTCAAAAAAAAAGATGTGACGTGCTTATTTTATATTATGAAATGAGTAGTGAAATAAGCTCACAAAGTGAATCATGTTTGATAGTGTAAATAGTGTGTGAGCAATTCATTTTTGGATAGAGGGAATAGTTTTTAAATATATGGAGCTTAAACTTTATTAAAGAACTCTACACAAATAGAATAGAACATGTAACTTAGTAAAATAGAACTCCTATATTTTTAAATTGTAAATGGAAATGGGATTTTTTAAAGAGATAAAATATACTACACTATTAAAGAAATCTACCGAAATAAGAATAAAATATGAAACTTTATCAAAATAGGGCATGTTGTTTTGGGAGTTTTGGGAATGAAAAATAAAGTGAAATATTGGAAAACCCTAGAAAAGGTTAGGATAAATTAAAAGAAGTTAAAAGATAGTGAATTGATTGGAAGAATATGAGAGGAGTTAGAAAAAAACTTTCAATTTTACGAACGGAACACCAGAACGTTCCCAGGTCATCCCATGACATGAAGTTTCAACATCATGGGAACTCCACATTATTATAAAATAAAATTTTGAAACTTCTCCACGAGACAAATGTAATGAAATAATTTTTATGAAGTTAGTTGGATACAATTTAAAAAAATTAAAGTGGAAGAATGAGGTGAGTATTAAGAGGGTGTTTGGAATGATTAAATTGTGGATAAAATGATTTCCACAAATGCTGAAAGCAAAAACACCTCATACCAGCTTCTCTAAAACGATGTTATATGTACAAATTAGTGGTGGTTAAAAGCAGAAGCTGGCATGCCAAACAAATAAAATTACTTCCACTCAAAGCAGAAACTAAATTAATAAAGCAGCGCACTGCCAAACACCCTCTAAGTTGTGTGGGGGCGGCGTTGGAGAAGGGGAAACGACAAGGGGTGAAGAACACGAAAATGGGAGTGACGAATTGAGACTTCGTTTTCAAGTTAGTCAGTCAGAGAGGAAAGGTAGTGGGCATGCATTTCTTTCTTTCTTTAATTTTGTAGCCATGTTTTTGACCTTTTGCTAATGTCTTCTTCTCTTTCGGCGGTGCCCGCCCATATTCGATCATCTCGGGTTCTCCCCTCCCCTCCCCTCCCCTCCCCTCCCTCCCTCCCTGCTGATTCTTGTGATTTCTTGATGTGACATATAGCATGAGAATGTATGTTTTTTCAAACGTGCAATGAGTGTGTTCTTATGATCAAGAAGAAGAAAAAACTATACACAAGTTTTGAAAAAAAAAATTGGGTCCCACTTACAATGTGACAATGTGTTGATTGTGCAGTGTGACATAGATAGTGTCGCACTTGTAATGTGACAATGTGCTGAGTATGCAGTGTGACATAGATAGTGTTGCACTTACAATATGACAATATGGTGAGTGTGCAGTGTAACAATGACAGACTGAACTCCTATTTTGTGCTTAAAAAACTTATGACTCATATTTTGGTATTGTAATAGTTTTTTTACTCATATCTAGGGAGTTCACTTTCTCTCCTCGCATTAGAACATGGGCAATGACAAGACAAAAATTGAGTGACAAATGGTTATGTGGAATCTTTTAACCAATCAAAATCAGTGAGTCAACGTCTGACAAGTAAGTGGAGCGGCAAACCTTACAATTGTAAGTCATTATTTTTATCACTTTTTACACTTTTCTCAACGTATTTTAATTCTTAAAAAACTAATGATCTTTTTTTGATAAAAATAATTATACTCTTAAAAACAATTCTTTCTTCTACCAAAAAAAATATCAAAAAATGGCTTGCGGCTATGCCTCGCTTGGCAAAAGAGGTTAGCCACACAAAGCAAGGGAAGACATTTGATGATGTGGCAGGGTATCGCATGGGCCAATCCATCCGTGCCTCTTTCAAATTGGGTGTTTTAAAACCCTCCTCATGTGGCACAATAAGAAAGAGACATGTGAACATAATATTTCACCTCTTTTAAGAATTTAAATTATTTTTGTTATATAAATATTGGCCCCAATCCAAAATTAATTTAGTTTTACACCAAAAATTAGACCTGGTAAAAAACTGACCCGACCTATTTTTGACCCGAAACCCGACCTGGAAACATTGGGTTTTGAACAAAGGTTTTGATGACCGAACCCGAAGTTGACCGAACCCGAAATGACCTGCTAAAAATGGGTCAAACCCGACTGAATCTGAACCCGATCTGACCGACCCGCTAAAGTAAGAATTTTTCAAAATGATACACCTTACTACTCGTTTTTAGTGTATAAATTTATATTTTCAGACAAAATTTTAATAATATTGCATAATTATCTAACTTTTTTGCAAAACTTAAACATTTTTTAAATTCCTTATATTAATTTATATATCTAAAAATTACTTTAGAATTTAAAATAAAATAATCTAATAGATTTAATGTTTTTTTTTGATATTTTAAATGTATTAAATAGAAATGTAAGTGCTAATGTGAATTTAAAAATTTAAAAAACCAAAGTCATAACTCGTTGGACCGACTCGAACCCGATGACACTGGGTTATGAACATATTGTTCTCAACCCAAACCCAAATTGACCCGAACCCGAAATAACCCGAACTCGAAGTGACCTAACCCGAACTGACCGGCCAATTTGCCAGCTCTACCAAGAATTATTATTTTGTTAATATCGGGTTAACGGAACGACCTGTTTTGAACAACAAAATGAAAGTTGGTATTATTTTTAGTGAATTTTTATTTATTTATTTTAATACTCCCTCTGGTCCTAAAAACATGAAAGTTACTGATTTTTAAGAGATAAGAGAAGTGTATTTTGGTATTGAATTTCCAAAAAAGATCTTTGATATGATGGGTAAAGTAAGATTTGATAGGTAGATTATTAGTAAAAATATATGATGTGATAGACAAGGTATGAAAAAGTAAGGGGTAAAAGTAATTTTTTAATAGAAATAAAAAGTATTTTTGGGACGGATGAAAAAAGAAAGGAGAAAGGTTTCAGGGACGGAGAGAGTATTTATTTAAGTTTTTGAAAAAACTTTCTACATAAATTTCTTCTTCCTTTTAAAAAAATATTATTCTTATCTTATAAAAAATAAAAAATAAGTATAAAATATAAAATATAAAAAATAAGTATAAAAATATTAAATATAAGTTTTCAGTTATTTTTCTCATTTTTGTTATTTTTTGTATCTATTTTTTATTTATATCCAAAATTAGACTAATCTTTAAAAGAATACAACAAAATGAAAGTTGAGATTATTTTTAGTGAATTTTTGTTTTTTAATTTATTTAAATAATTATTTAAGTTTTTAAAAAAAGCTTTCTACATAAATTTCATTTTCCTTTTTTTAAATATTATTCTTATCTTATAAAAAATAAGTATAAAATATCAAATATCAAAAATAAGTATAAAAATATTAAATATAAGATTTTAGTTATTTTTCTCATTTTTTTATTTTTTATATCTACTCTTTTATTCATATCCAAAGTTAGACTAATCTTTAAAAGAATACAAATGATGGAAATCAATAATAATAATCAACTGATCACATCTAACTTTTACACATCATATCAAAGATAATTTGGAAAAGTCAATACAAAAATTTATGTTCCTTAAATCCCATAAAAATCAAAACAAGGACTTTGTGAGACGGAGGAGGTACAACTTTTGGTATAGTTTTTTGGTATAAAAATTTTATTCTAAATTTTTTTACTTATAAATAAATAAATTGAATTGCAAATAACTCTAATTAAACCTCGTAAATTAAAATATGAAGAATTTTTAAGACGGAGAAAGCATAAAAAATCTTATGATAATAATTTTAGAAAATATTTTTGGAAAACACTTCCTCTGTCCCAAAAAAATTACCATATTTTTACTTTTTGTCAACTATTACACACTTTGATTACAAATTAAATGTTGTTTTAAATTATTAAATTGTATGAAATTGTGATTTAGCAAAACAATATTTAAGAGCGAATTCAATTTTATTATATTTACATTATAACTAAGTATACATTTTCCATAATTTATGGTCAAAGTAATACTCCTTATAGTTAGACCAAAAGTGTATGGGGGAAGAAAAAAACTAAAAACTACTACTGGGTATAAAAATGGTCCAATGTGTAAAATGTAATTTGAAAAGTTAAGTAGACCAACCCAAATAGATGACATGTCACATTAGAAAAATTGATGTAGGTAGAAATTTTCAAAGGATATGCTAGAGGTACACCAAATGTGTATCCCAAATGTACATCACCCCCCTTTTTACCATTCATTTTATTTTATTTTTATTCTTTTTTATTTTTTCTTGCTTTTTTTGTGGTGATGGAGGAGGTGGGGATGTTTGGAATACATTTTTGGTGTACCCCTAGCATTTTCCAATTTTTAAATACGATAAAAGTACGAGTGATGCATACTGCAAAGATTTGACTCTTTTGGCAAACATTTTAAGAAAGAACGTTACTATCTACTACTCCCTCCGTCCTAAAATATAAGCAACATTATGCTAAATGAAGTAATTTTTTGAATTTTTTCAATTCATTTTGTTTAAAGAATGGTCTACAAATGAAAAATAAAACTTACATATTTAAAAACTACGTCAAAAGTTCTACATAACAAGTGGTGACAAGAATATTTTATTCTATCAAATAATCAATGAAAATGCAAAAATAAATAAAAGTTCCCGGGATTTTTAAATAGTGGAGTGTTGCTTATATTTTGGGACGGAGGGAGTAGTACATCTCTAATTATTTATACAGTTTTGACTTTTTTTAAATTATTTTTAATTTTCGATCTATAATTAAATAAAATATATATTGTATATTAATTAGGTAAAATGATACTTTGAAAATATTTCATACAAGAGATCTAATAAAACTATTTTAATATCATTTTTATTTTATTTGAAGTCAAAATTTATAAATTTTAACTAAAAAAATTAAAAGTAGATAAATACTCAGCGACGAAGAAATTACTACTTATAGTACTAAAATTTGTACTTCAAATTACACATTATAAGTATACACTTTTATTTTTTGTCAATGTGATAATTTAGATAGGAGTAAATTCCATAATTGGTGTTTTATAACAGGGGTTCCATATTTAGTAATATATTATCAAATATTTATTTCTGTAGTCCTTTTTTTAAGAGTGCCTTTCTACAAATGGTCATTTTTTGATCTTCTGTCATGTTGGTGTAAATTTAAAGGCTAAAAGTATAATTTGACATCAACATTATCTCTAGTAACGTGTTCTGATATTGGTTAAGCGTACAACACAAAAATAATGACTATGATTGTGGGCTAGGATTCCGACGAAAGACCACATTTGTAGACTATGGTTGTAGTATAAAGCGACTGTAATTCACAAACGACGCAAATGGAACAGCCTTTAGAATTGTGTATGACAAAAAAGATATAGTATCATTGTAAAATTACACTTTTAGCCCTCAAATTAACACCAACATGATTGAAGATCAAAAAAGGACTATTTGTGAAAAGATATATATAAAAGAAGAATCACTCGGGTAATATTTGATAATAGATGACTAAATAGAGAAAACTTCTGTTATAAAGAATCAAATATAGAATTTACTCTTTAGATAGACACAAAATCCTAATGTAAATTTTATGATCGATATAATTGGCATGAAGAAATGAATTCATCCTAAATCTGATCAAAATAATTTTAATTTTTTTAAGTACAATCATTATATCTGAAATTCAAAGAATTGCTACAAAATAGGATATGATACTCGAAACATTATCGGACGGCGTGAATAAGAAATACCGTCGCGGGTTATTCATGACGGACGACGTCGTTTACGATTTCGAACACAACGACGACAAAATCAAACGTTGACCTCTTTGCAGAGGAAAGTGAGCGACGACGACGGCGCCGCCGGCGAGCCACCGTCGTTCTCGCCGAGCAACAGTACCCTCTCGTAGTAGTCAACACAGAACAGCGACAGAGAAAGCTCCACCTCATTGCGGGTCGTCCACGCCCGCCGCTGCCGCTGCCGCCGCCCGAGCCGGCTCAGCACCGGCCGGACGCAGACCATGTAGAGGCGGCGGTAGCCACCGAGCGCCCTGACCACCGCCCTGACGCCGTCGGGCGGCGGAGACAAGCGGCGGAAGCACAAGTTCTCCCACAACGAGTCGTTGCGGGAGATGGTGCACCACAGCCTGCAGACGCAGGCTGCGACCGCCATGGAGCGGCCGTCCAGCCGTCTGAGTATCTCTATCAAAACGTCGGTATTGTCATTAATTAAGCAGCAAAAGTTGTTGATTCTCTTGCCTCTGTTATCTTCTGCCATGTTTGTTTTCCCTTGGAATGAAGGATGATAATGGAGAAGAAAGAAGAAGAGGGAGTGTAAATTAATGGGTAGAAAGAGAAGAGAGATGAGATAGACATATATGTGCATGTATGCAGGCTAAGCTATATAGCCATATAGGTACTAAAGAAAGATTGAAATATGTGCATGTATTCTTGCCTTTTTTTCATTAAAAAAAGCATTAAAAAGCAGAAGAAGAAAATGGCTTCCTACTAATTTAAATCGTCTGTTTTAATTTCTGATATTTAACTAGAATTATTTTTAATTCAATTTATCTGAAATTGAATTGGACCAAAATTTTGAAACAGAATTTACATACTAGGGGTACTAAAAAACTATATCAAAATTAAGATGTGACATAATTATATACAAGTACTATTTCTTGTTTGAAAGAGGGCAACTTGGTTGGCTTTTGCGTCCACCATCTACTACATTTGGAAGAAGCAAAATCGAGTATTATTATTGTTCAGGAGATTAAAGTCATGGTCTATAACATTTTGTATGCATATGTTTTCTTCTTCTTGTACCATAGCCTTTAAGATTTATTGTGAGCTTATATTTGTGACTTGTACTCGTATCCTTTGTTAGAGTATCTCACCTTATATTAAAAGGATAAATAGAAAATATTGAATTCATAAGCTCTTCATTTGAACTAGTATTCAATTGGATCCAACCAATCTTTTGATGCTTGTGGTTCAATCAAGTGTCTTATAATCTAATTTAGTATTCTTATCAATCCTAAACTTATATCAGAGTAGATTTTGACACATCTCGTTTTTCAAGATGTCCATCTAGACGTTTATTCTTAAAGGCTCATGAGTCTTTAGCCAGTTGTCCGTAAGGAAAAGGACCTGTATTGTGACCCATTTAACCGCATTGTTCTTCTATTATAGGAATAAAAATATCTCTATTTATTTTTCTTATTTAATTGTTACCATAACTCTTTATTCTACTCCTTTCGTCCCTAAAATAATTACCTTCTTTGATCAACGTGTAAAAACCCATAATTTTTTAAATATTTTTATTTACAAATTGGTACAGAAATAAAAAATAAAAATTATACATTTAAGAATTATATCAAAAGTTCTACAAAATAAGAGGTGACACCAATATTTTATTTTATCAAAAGATCAATGAAGACGTGCAAATAAACAAAAGTTATCGAGAGGGCATAATGGTAAAGATGTAAATCATTTTGGGACGGAGGGAGTATTACCATTAAGATTCTTCTTATATTCTCTATGTATACTGGTATAATTTCATTATTCAATAGGATCAAATATTATCAAATTCTTTTAAGATTGGGTAGAGATAACTGGATTGGGCTATAGGGCACTTGGGCTGAACCACATTAAAAGATTGAATTCAATCGATTACTTAGTTCAACTCAAGAGCTTATATACCCGTTATTTTCCTCACACTTTTCTGATGTGGGATACTCTTTAACACTCTCCCTCAAGTGGACGACCGAGCCATTTTGAATCTAACCGGTTGACCACTTGCAAATGAACTCACATCCCCTTGATTTTTTTTTTGAGAGTCAACACCTAAAAGACCACGAGCCGCTGAGTATGGACTTCTAGATGAGCAATCGTGTTAAAGAGGCCACATGCCATTGGGTACATACTCCATACGGACAACTGGGCTAAAGGACAAATGGGCCGCTAGGAATGAACGTCTAGACGGACACCTTGACAAACAAGGTGGGCCAAAACCTGCTCCGATACTATGTTAAAATTTTGGTGGGCCGAGAACAACGGGTAGAGTGTGGGATAAAATTAACCACTTGCATATAAAGTCGGGATCCACTATTCTAACCCAAAAGCTTAAGTTGATACGTAGGGCTTCACTCTTCTATACATGCTAGTAGTATTCATATTTTTCGATATAGAAACTCCAACATCGTGCACCACCACATGTCTTTATCATCGATGATTGACTGCCACAATCATAGCATCACCCTTATCAATCTCTTTTTATGGAGTTCGAGAGCATGGAAAGCGATAAAGAAGAAACAGTGAACAACTCACTAGGAGAAAAAAGGAAACTTGTCATTCTCATACTCCCTCCGTCCAAAAAGTTCCTTCCCTTTTTTAACTTGTCTCACAAAATCCTTCACAATTTTGTTAAAAACTCACTTTTGCCCGTACTAATTTTTAATAATCATATCACACCATATTTTTTTACTAATAACATATTTATTATATCAAAAACATTTTTGAAAAGTCAACATAAAAATATCTTTATTTAAAATTTTCTAAGAGTTAAAATCGAAACATCTTTTTTGAAGTACAAATTACGGGAGTATGATTCTAAAAAAAAATTCCATAATAACATCTGATGTCTTTTTAACATTATGCGGTCTTTTTAAACTTATTCGACAACATAAATACTTCAGAATCTACAGTATATACAACTATACATCATATCATATTTCATATCACATCAACAAAATTAACAACACTAAAAAAATAATGGGATATGCTAGGGGTACACCAAATGTGTATCCCAAATGTACAGCACTTCCCTTTCTACCATTCATTTTATTTTATTTTTATTTTTTATTTTTATTTTTTGAATTTTTCGTGCCTTTTTTTGTGTTTATGGAGGGGGTGGGGGATGTTTGGGGTACACTTTTGATGTACCCCTAGTATTTTCCAAAAATAATTTAAAACCCCAGAATTTAAATTATTAGGTTATTCAATTTCTTATTTTTATTTGTCCAAAATTAATTACTCGCTTTCAATATTTAAGAAATAAGAATGGTGAATTATATATCTAAAGTTCCCTAGAGATCACATATGCATTACGTATTTTTTTTTCATTAATGAAAAATAAAATTAATTATTTCAAGAATTTATTTTTAGTACTCGGTTTCCGACACTCATTCGCTAAAAATGAGATATTTTAGAGAGTGAGCACGTAATTATTTCAGATGGAAAAAGGAAGTAATACAGAGTAGTCGTTATGTTTTGCCTAATTAAGAATAAAACGTTGAAGATTAATATTTTCTCCGTCTCAAAACTAAGATTTGAGTGTAAGTACCATTTAAGTACTGTTAAACGTGATTTTTTCCTATAATATATATTCATTAATCACTTTTGTTTTGTAGTGCATTGTTTGATATACTTTTTAAATATAGAATATATATAATTACTCTATTATTTTAAAATTATGTATTATTATTTTAATAATTTCACTCGATCAAGTTTCCTTATCGAGTAAAAGGAAATTGGTAACGTCACAAAGGGGTAATTGTGAATAAGAAAAAATATGAAATGGAAAAGGGGGTTAATTATATTAATTTTCATTGTTTCATGTAAAATAATTGGTGGGGATTAATTAATTAATTAATTAATTAAAGATCCTTAGAGATTTGAAAGAGTAATAACAGATGGCTGGGTAGGAGGTATCCAAGCGAGAAGAAAAATGGACAAGAGGAAAAAGCCAAGAGAAGAGCAAGAAACAAGTAGGGCCCAATCAACCTTTTAATTATTAATTTTTGTTTGATATACTATGGTTATAAGTACAAAGGAGAAAATTGTTGTTTGATGTTCTTGTTTGCTTAATTGCTTTGGAAATTTTGCTTGTGGGGTATATTTGATTTTTTTTCACTTTTCTATAGATTAAAAAAAATCTACCTAAATAAACATAAAATATTAAATTTACCCTAAATAGAATCTGCTCCTTCTCTCCAACAATAAAGTTCGCATACACTATTCACAGAATCAAACTTTATTCACTTTGTTAGGTTGACTATTTTCCTGTCATATTTGATAAAATATTATAATCATGTCACATCTAGTTGTAAGTGTAGATCTTTTCATGTAGTTTTTAAATATGTACTTTTTATTTTTTAAATTCCATACCATTTTTTATATAAAATGCATGATTTGAAAATAACTTCAGTCAAATATCGTAACGCGCAATGTGAACTTTATTTATGGACGGAGGCCATTTAGATCTCTTGGACTAGCCCTCCCCACCTTGTGAATTGTGATTATCTTAGACAGACTATTAAGACTCAATTAATCTCTCTCTAAACTCTATTGTCGATTTAGGTGCTTAGAATGTTCAAAAAATTACCATCTAATTTTTTTTGTGTGCATGATAAATAAGTAATTACCCCCTCGTTCGGTTCCAAAATTATGGTATGTTCATCACTAGTCTTGACTTCCGATAATTCTTTATTGCGTGTGCGATACGTAGATTAGTTTTATTGATAATAATTTGATAAAATATATAAGTTGTATTTTTTTATTTCAGTACAAATTTATAAATGAAATCTCTTTTTAAAAAGTAAAATTTCACTCCGTGTATGTTATTCAAAATATGAGGAAAACTTTGAGACGTATCTTAAAATATGAGGAAATTTCACTCCGTGTATGTTATTCAAAATATGAGGAAAACTTTGAGAGTCAGATTCGAACGTTGTGTGTGTGTGCGTGGGTGTTTATTGGTTGGAAGAAATAATATTAGGATGGGACGACGACCACTATTGTGTCGTTGAGGCATGCGGAGGCTATTATTGTTGTTCCTACGTGGTTGGTCGTCTGCAGGCTACTTGGACGTAGTACTTTCCCGCCATCACATTCACATCTCTAAAGGGAGTGCCGCCATTCATATATTCTTCCCCATGTCCATATCAATCTTATTGCAATTTTTGTACGGATTACAACGGACGGGGAAGATGAACGACCTCGAAAAAATAAAATTAAATAAAATTCTGAATTTATAACTTATTCAGAAAATTATAAAATAAATAGAATTGAAAATAAATTTCTATATCTTCAAAAAGCCTTGTTGTATGAGGACATTAAACACTGTACAACAAGGCTTTTTGAAGATATAGAAATTTATTTTCAATTCTGTTTATTTTATAATTTTCTGAATAAGTTATAAATTCAGAATTTTATTTAATTTTATTTTTTCGAGGTCGTTCATCTTCCCCGTCCGTTGTAATCCGTACAAAAATTGCAACAATCTTAAGGTAGTAGTCATATCCGTGCACGATGGCGGATATGGATGGTTTCGGTTTTGATGCTCACACAGGAAACGAGAGTAGTTCCAAGACTCCAGTTGTGAACGTTTCGGCTGGATTGAGTGGCTCTGTTGGGCAGACCACTCCGATCAACATTCCTTTCGGATCGAGTGCGACTATGGGGTCCGCTCCAGTCACATCGGTTATTGGACCAACCACGGCTACAGCTGCAATGGTAACCACACTCGCACCGAATATGGCTTCGGTCATACCGGTCATTCTCTCACTTGGACTGAACACGGGTGTCTTTACATCCACACCGATCGGACATCCCACTGCCATGCTGCCTGCGAACTCTATCAAAGAACTGGCAAAGTTCACAGGTGTTGTCGACCCCCAAATCAATTTTAATTCATGTGGGGGATTGTTGAAATTTTTGGTATTTTTAATAGGCATTATATTAAATGGACCAACTTGGGTATATTTATCAATAGGTTCACTAACGGTTTTAACCGTTAATTGATGGACGTGTGTTCTCTTAAATTAGATAAATGTTTTGATAATTTATACACCAAAAATGGTAGAGGGTGAATGAGAAATTGATTCTCAGAGTTAACCCGTTAATAGAAGAATATGGTAAGGATTGCATTTTTTTGCAGTTTTACTGAACCAATCTTTTATTATTAATTTTACGTATTATTTAAAATTAGTCCATTTCTACGGAGTTAACTGGCCACTAATCTCCAATTATATGGGACAAATTTTAAACCGAGCGTAGCGTAACGGATGTGTTAATGGCTAATTAATCATCATTAACACGGTATTAAGTATGCCATAAATGTCATGGATTAATGGTATAGGAGTTACATTTTTTAAATGGCTTAGTTATAAAAATCAAACGGGGCTCCTCATTGTGTGTAAGTGCTTCATGCGTGAGAAAGAAAGAAAAAGAAAGGGAAACATTTTCTTGTTTTTGAGAGAGAGCTCTTGATTTTCCGGCCAACTTTCCGGCAATTTCCTTCGAAGTTTTTTTTGGTCGCCAACGTTCCTACGTTGTTCTTGTTCGTTGGTGTGTGGTTGATCCGGACAATCTCCACACACGATAGCGATTTTTTCCTGGGAGGAGAGTACTCACGTTTTTCCGGTACGGTAGGCGGACACTACTACCTTAAGGACAGCTCCGGCAACTCCGCTGTCCTTCCACGGTGTTTTTTTTGCAGGTTTAGTTCATAAAGACCTCGCTGCATTCTGCCCTAGGACATAATGTCCTTGTTGTCCATTGCATAATGTCCTCGCAGCCCAGTGCATAACGTCCTCGCTGTCCAGTGCATAATGTCCTTGTTGTCCAATGCTTAATAATGTCTTCATACAACAAGGCTTTTTGAAGATATAGATATTTATTTTCAATTCTGTTTATTTTGTAATATTCTGAATAAGTTATAAATTCAGAATTTTATTTAATTTTATTTTCCGGGTCCGTTCATCTTCCCCGTCCGTTGTAATCCGTAGAAAAATTGTAACAATCAGTAAAATTGCAAAAATTGCAATCCTTACCATATTCTTCTATTAACGGGTTAACTCTGACAATCAATTTCTCATTCACCCTCTACCATTTTCGGCGTATAAATTATCAAAACATTTATCTCATTTAAGAGAACACACGTCTATTAATTAACGGTTAAAACCGTTAGTGGACCAATTCATATATATACCCAAGTTGATCATTTAATGCCTATTAAAAATGCAAAAAATTCCAACAAATCTAACTCTTTTTTTTGGAGTTGGTAATAAATTAAAGAAAAACTCCACACACACACTACTAGACGTGGTTAATTATAAGACACAATAATTATAAAAACATGCACTTCATTTTATCCAATTGCCATCCCGAAATGGTACTCGCTCTTCCTACCTTTTCATATTTTGATTCTAAAAAACACAATAGAGAGATTTTAGTTGGAAGCCCAGCTTTAAGGGCAAAATTATTCATTTAACATAAAAAGAGTGAATTATTTAACCAACTTTAAATTTTTATTTCAATGAATTACTCTAATTCATTTTTTAATTTAAAGAAATTGATTTAAAATGTTCAAAATAAAACTCTAGTTTTGAGAGAGATGGGACTCATTAGGGGAGATATAGATAATACTCTCTCCGTCCAAAAATAAAATTCTTGTTCACTATTCACAAAATCAAATTTTATTCACTTTGCTGGCGTATTTTCATGTCATATTTGATAAAATAATATAGTCATGTCATTTTTAGTTTTGAAGATCTTTTCATGTATTTTTTAAATATGTAATTTTTTTAATTTCATACCATGTTTCATATAAAATGATTTGAAAACAACTTCAGTCAAATACAACGCGCAATGAGAACTTTATTTATGGATGGAGGGAGTTTGAAATTACTCTTGGGTACCCTTCATCTTTGAATAATAACTCTCAGGTCTCATATTATCTTAAATATACATTGGGGTACCCTTGATTTTCTGGTAAGAACTCTTGAGTCCCACACTATCCAAAATAATAAATATAAAAATCATCCTAAATAGGACTAAAACATAGAGAAAAGTACCAAAATAGGACTTTCATGTTTTTTTCCCGGAATAGGACTATGCATTGTGGTAATGTGGCAGTGTACATGTGCAAAATACTATACTTTTTTGGTAATGTATATGACCATGTTTGGTAATGTAAGTCCTATTTCGGGAATAAAAACATGGAAGCTCTATTTTAGTATATTTTCAATGTTTTAGTCCTAGTTTGGTCTTTCTACCTAATAAATATACTCCAGGGGTCCTTAAATTTTGTGCTAATGTACTCTAAGAACACATTCCGTTTATTTGATCATTATAATTGAAAATTCTGTTACTTTGACAAATACTCTCGATCTTCATTCCACAAAATCTTTCTTCTTTCTTTTTCCATCCGTCGTAAAAAATCTTTCTCATTTATATTAAAAAAATCATTTTTACCCATAGTAATTTTTAACCTACCTATCACATCACATTTTTTCATTGTTGATTCACCCATCACATTCCCCTTTTATCCATCATATCTAAGGATATTTTTGGAAACTTAGCACCCAAAAAATTCTCCCCTTAAATCCTTTAAAAATCAAAACCAGAAAAGTTTTGTGGGATGGAAGGAGTATTAATCAATACATCCATAATCATTATTTTATTAAATTAAAATAAAACGCATCAATTTGTCAAAGTAAAATAACTTTTAATCCAACGCCTAAATTGAGATAATGTACCCTCTGAGTATAATATCACAAATTTTAAGAATCTGGAGTATATTTCAAATAATGTGGAATTTAAGAATTCTTACAAAAAAATCAAAAAGATTCTTGAGTATATTTCAAAAAATGTAAAATTTGTGAGTTATTATCGGAAAATTAAAAGTACGAAAGTAATTTTTCTGAAGAGGGAGTAAGAAAGGGCGACCAATTGTGAAGTACGTGTACGGAGAAGAAAATAAACAAGTGTACGAAGGACGAACCACCCTGCCCCCTAAACTGGCTGGTAAAAGGTGGTAGACCATGGGTCGATGGGCCGCCGAAACTATGACTTTTCACTTCAGTGGTGCCCTCCGTGGCCCAAATAGTTTGTAGTTTGCACCCCTGCAATTGGCCCTCCACACGAGTCACGAGTTTAAAAAGAAACAATAAAATTCTAGTCTGACACTTTGAGAAAGTTAGTGTTAACATTTTGAGAAAATTATTTGATGATATCTTTTAGTTTTAGAGTGTCGGAATTGATTAATATTATTAAAATTTTATTTAAAACGTTAATATAAATCAAAAACGTTATTTTCAAACAAAGTTGAACTTAAGTAACTTCAACTACAAGCCTAAACTTGGCACGAATCACACAGAATATTATTGTCGGTGTATTACATATAATAATAATAATTTCTTTGTGTAAAATTAGGAGTCACTCTTGGGGTTAACCTTTTGGGGTTACCCGTAGCATGCTTCAACAAGAAATATTTTTGAGGCCAACAAGAGTATTAAAACTTAACAAAAATATTAAAATCAAAGCAATCTAATTTCTGTGGCGGATCAAGAAAAAAAGTGACTAAGCTAGGGGCAAAGTCATGATAAGGAGTAGGCCTGGCGGGATTCGGGGGTGTGCGCTGGTTCAAAATCAGACTAGACCAAAATGTTTACCGAAGACTGTACATGTTTTTTACCGATCTTGACCGGTACGAACCATAATTTTTCAGTCTGGTCCGAATTTGACCTATTAAAAAACGGAATGTGTTGAACTTGAAAATGAAGCCGGTGAAGCGTAGCTCAGCGGCTTGCACAGGAGTGCTTCAAGAGATCAGAGAGATCCTGAGTTCGAAGCTTGGTGGGTGCGATGAAAGATAACCATGTAAGGGTCCGTTCTGTAGGACTTATTTTTTCTACTTATTACTTATTCTTATTAAAATCAGATCAGATCAGACCTAATCAGATCAGATCAGACCCAATCAGATCAGATCAGATCCAATCAGATCAGATCAGATCCAATCAGATCAGATCAGATCAGATCAGATCCAATCAGATCAGTTCAGACCCAATCAGATCAGATCAGAACTTCAAAAATTCAGATCAGATTCAATCAGATCAGGCGTACAGAACAGAGCCTAAAGCATGAGCCTTCTGCAAGTACTAGGTGCAAAACTCTGGCCTTATGCAAACTGACTGAAATTATAACTCAATTTATCTTATCTCAACTAAATATGTATAGTTAATAATAGTCATATAATATACCAACTGACTGAGATTATAATTCAATTTATTTATCTCAACATATTCAATATAATTCCTATATTTTAAATTGCGACCTAATTGGTGTACTTGAACCGATCCAAATATGTATAGTTAATAAGAGTCATATAATATACCTCTTTCATTTTATTTTCAAATTGGTAGCAAAAAAAATTATATCAATCAAAAATATTGCATCAAAATCTCTACAAAACGAGATACGATAAAAATATTTTTTTATTTTATCAAATTGTCAACTAAAATGAGTAAACAAACAAAAATTATCGAGAGATCGAAAGAGTTACATTTAAGACATATATATACGACACAAACTAATGCTAGCTCGAATAAAGGCATCAACTAGTTAACAACTCTTCAGGTTTCTAACCTATGAGAGAGTATAATTAATCGTTATTTTATTACTCTTCTTGTCAAAATTTAATTGTCCATTTTTTGGTCATCTATCAGAAATTAGTTATCACGTATGATGAGTGATTTAAAATATAAGAAATCAATCTAAATAAAAATAAAATATTGAGAAAATATCAAAATAGAAACTTCATGTTTTACTTTCAAAATATGAGTTTGGATAGTAGTAATGTGACA